CGTTAAGGCTTCTTCTTGCAATCTGCCTTCTCTCCAGCACTTCCTCCTTCTTCCTCCACTCGAATCATCATATATGCTTTGGACTTCAGCAACTCCACATCCATGTCTCAAAAATAGCACTCCAAATAAGTAGCAAACTTCTCTTTGAATGCCTTAGCCTTAGCTCGAGTGATTGGCCCCTTGATGTCCTCATCACCTTCACTTGTTGTAAGTAGAGTTGTTTTGAGTGGGGATTGCTCTCTTGCAATACTTCCTCCCATCATCTTCTCTCAAGAATTCCTGTGTAAGAAGTCTATCAAATTATCAAGTTTTACTTCATCTTTTTCAAATCATCTTCAACTTTTATTTATTTCGTGCATAACTGGTCATCTCCGGTATTTATTTTATGCAAAACTGGTCATCTCCAGTATTTATCTTCTGCTAATCTGGTCATCTCCAGTATTTACTTTTTGCTTTTATTTTATGCAAAACTGGTTATCTCCAGTATTTATCTTCTGCTAATCTGGTCATCTCCAGTATTTACTTTTTGCTAATCTGGTCATTTCCTGTCTCCTTTACTTTACAAACTATTTTCAAGTTAATCTCTTATTGTAAGCGACCTTTTATGGATAACAGACCATAAGGTCCCCGGCAATCGGCGCAAAAAAATGACTCAAACAAAACTACAATGCAAATTATATCCCTACTAGAGCCCAAGTTTTTAAACTCTAGTCGAGTACAGTATAGGGCTAGTATTTAATTCTCAAACCGGGGTCGGTCCATGTACCCCTACTTCAATAATTTAAGTTGTTATCTAGCAAAACAGTTTTGGGTTTAAAACTAAGAAAACTACAAACTTAACAAGCAAGGAAAGTATATGGAGGAGCATTCTACTCGCGAGGACTTCACTCGGCTACTGCTCCCCCTAGTCTCATGCTAAAGAAGCGAAAAACAAAGCTCTAGTGTGAAAGACGTGTTGATACACCGCGAGGTGGGTGCAACTAGCTAGGGACAAACTCCCCTAGTCGATCAATGAAGGAAAATCAACAAATAAAAGCTAGGATAACTAGATCTCTTAACCGTTAGGTAAAGGAATGTGATTCATAGCTAGAGAACAAAGCCCTCTTCACCGATCAACCAAGGAGATCCCTAACTCCCTTAATTAGCTAATTGAGAATCGTTGCAACAAGTTAGAAAGCTAACTCACTTATCCTTTCGGCTAAGAGTGACAATGATAGGCTAGGAAACCTAACCCTCTCGACTAGCCGACTAAGGATTGCAAACCAAACCCTCGAAACTTAATCTAGTTGGCGAAGAGACCAATTACTGTGGAATCATGGCCCTACTCCGATACTTAAGACTTTGGTCTTAAATCGACCTAAAGGTGGATACCCAAGTGGCTAAGAAGTCTACCTTCCTATTGGACCAAAAGGGGATTTCCACCCTCTATGTCAATTTTACCCAATATTGAGTTAAAGCTAGCACACTCAATCATTCATCAATAATACCTCAAATATCATATAAAACACTCAATCAAAACAATAGGTTAATGTTCTTACATCCAAATACATAGAGAGACTAGGATTCATAATACCCAAGTGAGTAGGTAGGCTATTCCATAGGTAGACAAGAAAAACAACAGAAGGGGAAGAAAGAACCATGAAGTGATGTCAATCTTTCCTCCTTGTTGCTTGAGACACCCTTGAGATGAAGAAATCTTAAATCCTCTAGCTAGGAACAAGCCCAAAGCTCCTTCTTCCTCCTTTGATTTGCACTTTCTCACTCTACAAGAAAACCTAACCTCTCACTTGAATCCTATTTATTATGTAAATGAAAACATCACCTAAAAATGAAGCACCCCTCTTCTTCCTTTCAGATCTCCTTTAAACCCAGATCGAGCTGAGTTCACGGCCATCCAGTTCATGACCGTGAACTCCTAAACGCGTCTGTGAACTCAATGTCGTCTCCAAAACGCACAGCTTCACTCTCCGGGGTTCACGATTTGCGCTAAAAGTTCACGGTCTTATTGACCGTGAACTCCCTTGGCGTCTGTAACCTCTGGAACCTCGTTGTACGCCTTGATGTTCACGGTTTGTGGTTCAAGTTCACGACCTTAGTGGTCGTGAATTTCAATGCCAGGCCGTGAACTGCAACTGATTCTTGCACGCCCGCGCTTCAATGTTATGGGGCAATTGTCACGGTACTTTGGACTTTTCTTCAGTTTTTGCGCTTTTTGACCTCCAATCTTCCCGAACTCGTCCTCGACCCTTCCACACGTTCTAGGACCTGAAATGTATCAAAACAAGCACAACCTAGCGTGAAAATATTTCGAGAAACGATGAAATGCAAAGTCAAACTATCAAGAAATGAGAGGCAAAATGTGTGCAATTGGACCCGAATCAGTATGGTCATAGCTCGATAGGGTTTTTGGCATTCTATAAGGCCAATAGCTACTTTCACATGGTGAATTGTCGGTCTCGTGGTAGTTGATTGAGTTGAATATTTCAAGCTTTACCAACCAGCACACAGGCGTTCGGAGCTTAAGTAGTGAGAGATGATGCATGAAATCATAACAGCATTACTTAATTAAGAGAGGAAAAACAAACTGCATAAATGTATACCTGGGTAAGAGCAGGGCTCTGGGGGATTCCTTTATGCGGTAAATCCATAGTTTATTTTGAAGGGTGACTTGCACGAAACTACACCACTATAAAATCCCGACTAGAGTCCAAGTTTTTAAACTCTAGCCGGATGCAGTATAGAGCAAGTATTTAGATATCAACCAGGGTCGGTCCGTCTACCCCTACTTCAATTGTTGAAATCATTATCTAGCAACAAAGTTTCGGTTTGAAGGTTTGCTAATTATAATAAAATAAAGCAAAGGTAAATGAGTTTGAAAACTATTTTGTGGAAGGATCACTCGGGTGTCGCTTCCCCCTAACTACTACCATGATATGTGAATTGGAACGATTGCTTTTGGGAAAGGTAATCGCAAACCGCAGATGGATGCATATAGGGTCGAAGAACACAATCTCAATTGCTAAACTGAGGTAAACATTAAAGGCCGTGTCCCTCGACCCTCTCGGTTTACGCAATCGGTAATTGACTTTGATGAGGACATCAATGGGCCAGTCACACGTGCAAAGGCAAGAACGTTGAAGGAGAAGCTTGCAACGTATTTGGAGAGCTACTTTGGGACCATGGACGTGGAGTTGTTTCGAGGAAAGCCATATATGATGATTCGAGTGGAGGAAGAAGGAGGAAGTGCTGGAGAAAAGGCAGATTGCAAGAAGCCTTAACGGGTTTGCTTAATGGGTCCAGCCTTAACGGGTTTGCTTAACGGGTTCAGGCTTAACAGTTTGGGCTTAACGGGTTTGCTGGGCTATTTTCGGGTTTCCTTGTTTTAAAGTCGGTTTATGATTGTTTTTCCATGTTGGAGTCGGATTTGGGTTGTACTTTGCCTATTTAAAGGGTTGAACACGTTGGTTTTGTTTTTAGATGATTATTATTGAATTTTAGAGGCTATTGCTGAGTTCCCTACACGGAATTTGCCCTAATTACTCTGTTGAGAATCTCCAGAGTGCTAGAGCGACTCTTATCAGCTAGGTATTCACCCTGGTTGTGGCGAGCTACCCATATCGATTGCCCTTTATTCCGAGTTGAATCTGTCCGATCGATTCATATATCGATTGCCCTTATTCACAGGTGAGTACTGTCCGATCGATTTCCATCCTATCCGGTTCTGTTTGGTTCGAGAAGCTTGACCCTGCGCAACTTTGATTATATCAGACTTACTCCCTCACTCAACTCAAAGGTCGGACGCTTAATCACGATTAATCGATTTGCTTAATTCAACACTGAGGGTTGCCCTAAATTAACCTAGTTAGGTGGCTTAGAAAGCTTAAGAAAACCAACTCGATTGAGTCTCCCTTGGAAGGGGGATTTTCCTCTCTAAGCTAGGTTAAGCTGGCTAATTAGATTGCTAGCACCAACATGCACAAACCTAAGGGTGCTAGGCAAATTATGCACAATCCTTAGGTTGCTAAGCACCAAAATGCACAAACCTAAGGATGCTAAGCACAAAACATGTACAACCCTTAGGTTTCTAGGCACAAGCATGCACAATCAATCATGAAAAGTACCTCAATCATTGAATTAAACAATACCCAATGACAATCATTCGATTCACATAAAAGAAACTACATGGTAGAGTTAGGGTTTCACAACACCCAAGTGAAAGGAGATCTACTCCATGCTAGAAATGGGAAAAGCAAGAGGAGAAGAGGTGGAAACCATCTTGGAGGATGCTCTCAATCTTCTTGGCCCTTGTGTTGAGCTTTCCTTGGAGGAAATCTTCCCAAAATCTACCTTGAAGCAAAACCCTAGCCTTCTTTTACCCAAAAAAAAAAAACCCTAGCCTTCTTCTCCCTTGGTTTGTGTTTCTCTCTAGAAATCTGAAGAAGGATTTTCACACAAAGTGGACTCTCCCCTCTCTCCTCCTTTCAACTCATCTCTTAAACCAGAGACGAGCTCGGCTCGCGGCATGAGTTCACAGTCATGAACAACGAAACGCGTCCATAAACTGCAGGCATGCGCCAAAACGCACCGCTTCGATCACTTATGCTCACGGACAACGGCCTCCGTTCACGGTCGTAGTCACCGTGAATTCACCTTGCGTCAGTAACCTCTGTTTTGGCTCTGGGCGCCTTGCGATTCATGGTCAAGCAAGACCGTGAACTTCCTTGGATAGCCATGAACTGGCCCTTTTTCACCTCTTCTCCCGGTTTTCAATCCTTTTCGCCCAACTTTCGACTCTGAGACTGGTTCCACCTGTTAAATCTTGACACACACTAAAATACGAGAAACCTAGCATAAAACCAACCTTTTTAGGAGTGAATCAAAGGACTTAACTAAATAAAATGGGGGGCAAAACATGTACAATTAAACCCGAATCAAAGGACTTAACTACAAATATCTATAGATATTTGCAGTTTGTTTAAGCAGCTGAGGATGCTGAGCTATCTTATATAATGACTTCATTTCTACTCTCTCACACTCCTATCAGGGAAACCAACCAACAAAAATACTGCTGAGAGATGAGGTTTAAAATATAAAGGACTTACTAACTTCTCCTCTAATTAAATCACACAAGTAAAAGCTAAAATTAGAGTGTGTAACATAAAATATCGTTTAGAAGATCTGTGTATTTATTAGTGGTTGGTTTAAAATTTGTGCATGTAAAATGGATATTTATTTCGTTTAATTTATTGGGACTCTGGTTATAGTCGGGCACCAAAAAGACTGGTTAGGATTTTAACCATATGGAGTGATGAATGAAATAGAATGAATGGAAAACTGCACATGGGTTTCCATTTCAGGATTTGGGAGCAAAAATTACGTGTTGTATGCGGTAATGACACATTCATAGTAAATGTTGTGTGGAATAAAAAGGTTTAAAAGAGTAGCACAAAATCTATGCGGAAAACTGCATGTTAATGTGGAGTATTGATAGAAACCCAATTTCCGGGTTTATTAATAATTACTATAATTAGGATATTAGTATATATGGTTAGTAGTATTTGAGTCATAATAGGATAGTCTATTAGGTTTTTCCAGTCTTTCGTTATAAATATGTACTCTGCGTTTTATTCAGGGGCAATCAAGAAAGAATTATCAAAGTATCACTCTCAACCCTAATCTCTCCTAATCCTCTCAAACTCTCTTCTCAACCTATTCTGGCCGCCGACCATTCTGTTCTTGTTCTTCCCCAATTCTATTCCTGATCCCCAAATTCTCTTCTAAATCCCTAAATCTCCATCAATTCCCAAATTCTCAATCCTATCGATAGAACCCTATAGAAATAGGTTTCTATCAAGTATGTGGGTAAATCAGTCAATCGAAGGTGACATAATGTGGTTGACTGCTCAATAAGTTCTGGAACACTTTTGCATTCATGACGGTTGAATTGATAACACCTAAAATAAATGTTATCTATCTTTCTAATCTAGTCATTTTCATGTTTATTTGATCTTTGATCCTTATGTAGTGAAAAATGAACTATAGTACTGAATCCACGAGAACCCCCCGATAATATCCATAAATTACTTATTTTTGGTAAGAGGATGTGTGCGTGAGTGAGAACTAGACCTTGTGTTCTAGCATCAATTAGTTAGTTTTCTTTCGTATTTGATATTGTTCAAGATAAGGTGCTCGGATTTTACTCGATTGAGGGAGAAATATGGTGTCAAGTGTAGAAGAAGGGAGGAGGAGAATTCCCATCCAAAATGGACAAGATCACGACCACCAGGACAATTGGACTGTGATCTTGAGTTGTGAACTTTGACAACCGATCAACAATGAGAGCATAAGGTTTTGCGGTGTCTCCCACGCGAGCCTTCATATGAAACCGCGAGTCAAACTCCAACTGGTTCCACATCTCCAGCAACCATACTTTATGAGGTGTTTCCTTTTTATTATATTTCATTCTTGATAAGCGACTTATTTTTCTATTTTTCAAACTAATTTACTACTGAAAACACAATTCTCACATCTTAACTCCATAAAACCAAATCAACGGTCGTACAAAATCAAATTAACGAGTCGTTTGGAAGTTGTGATTGTTAGAGTTGTGTTTGTTGAATACATATATTGTGCACAATACAATTTTTGGAAGTGTCAAAGTGTAAAACATGCATTGTTTTAGGTAGGTCCCACCAACAATCACAAAAAATTATGCATTATACAATCTCAACTAAAAGTTGAGATTGATGTGATTGTTGGTTTTAGATTTGTGTTAACTTTTTCTTTCCATTTATATCCCTAATAGTTTTTGTCTTATTCTAAAAGTTGAGGATAAATGTGACATTTCCCCATAAAAGTAAATCATTATAATGTAACGATTTAATATTCGCAACTTCCAAACCACTCTTAGGAAATCTATGATTCTTAAAGTTGGAAATTTGAGTCCAAATCCTCTCATATTAAAAAAAAAAAAAAATCCCCATCCAAATCCGAGGAGCGTAAGCGAAATTTCTGGGAGCTTGATAGTTCTCTTCGCGGCACCGCGTATATATACGGGCTATGCTTGGCTTGACTCGCACGAAGAATCAAGAAGAGCAAGAGTCTCTGCGTTGCGCTTTTCAATTCTCTGCTTTCTGGGTTCCCTCTCTTCCCCTCGTATCGGACAATGGTGACATCCGGCGATGGCAGCGGCGGCTCTTCCGCGATCGCTCCTTTTTTGAAAAAATGCTACGATATGGTGGACGAGGAGTCTACAAACTCTATTGTCTCTTGGTCTCCGAGCAACGACAGCTTCATTATATGGGATATGACTGAATTCTCCGTCAAATTGCTCCCGGAGTACTTCAAACACAGCAATTCCTCTAGCTTCGTCAGGCAGCTCAATATCTATGTGGGTATTTCTCTGCCTCTGCTTTTCCCCCTGTTTCACTATTTCCTTCCTCTTTTGCGTTCCCTTGTTCGGTCTAGGGTCGATCTCCGATTGGGCATCGTGACGCCTCGAACTTTTGAGTGATCAAGTCCATAGAATATCGGTGATTGAACTTGTCGGTGTATTTTCTTGACCTAATTTGGGATTTCATTAGCAGTTGAACCAGGCAGCCGGCTCTGTGTCAGTATAAGGGGAGAGGGTTTAGGGTTTGGGAAAGTTATGCTCGTTTTCTAGAACTGTATATACTGCCTGCAGTGCTTGAAACTGCCTCCAAGATTGTATTTTGGAAGCCCTGAGATGTCGAAGCTTCATATGTTTTTAGAGAACAAATGCATAGATTAGTGGTGCGGGAGAGTCAGTGGTCGAAGTGTGGTCCTCTGATGTTGAAGGCTCCTGGAGAATTGTCTGGTGCCCGATGGAGAGAAGACAGTTTGGGTATGGTGGTCTTTATTGCTTACAATCGAAAATGATGTAATGAGTACTCCTCGAGTTTGGAGCTAGGAGTGAAGCAGCCTGCTTCTGCCATTTTAGTAGCTATTCTGTTAAGTTCCCTTGCCCAAATTGGTGTCGCCTTTCATGCTAGGTTCATCACTGGAAGGTGATCGTGTATACTGTGTGACAAACTTCTTAATGTGTTGCGTTTATGTAATTTTCTTTCAGGGATTTAGGAAAATTGATCCGGACCGATGGGAATTTGCAAATGATGGGTTTGTCAAAGGTGAAAAGCATTTGCTAAAAAATATTACCAGAAGAAAAAATCCTCAAGGGTCAAGCAATCGTAGGGAAGCTGTGCAGGGACCAGAGAAGTCTGTTGCTGAGCAACATGCTGTGGAAGTTGAGAAGGTAGACCTCTGCAAGGAAATTGAGAATCTTAAGATTGACAGAAATGCTGTGACACAGGAGCTGGTTAAACTCAGACAACATCAGGAAACTGCAGATAAGAAGCTGCTCCTGTTGAGGGACCGGCTAAAAGGGATGGAAACAAATCAGGAGCAGATGCTTTCCTTCTTAGTACTGGTCATGCAACATCCCGGTTTTGTGGTTCAGCTACTTAACCCTAAAGAGAATGGCTGGAGGATGGCTGAACCTGGTAGCATAATAGAGCAAGGTGCAGATGAGAACGAGCCATTAGTTTCTGATGGAAGGATAGTGAGATACCAGCCGACGACAGATAATGTGGACACACATGTGCATCATGGACACGTTGAGGGACGACATGATGAATCAGAGTTGTCATGTAGTGATTGGATGAATGATTTTTCAATAAGTCCTGATTTCATGAAGTTGCTTTCAGAAGAGACCTTTGCTACAGAGAATAATCACAGCCCATTCGTTATGCCGGAAATTCATGAAGGTACTTCGTGGGAGCAGCTTCTCCTCGGCACTTGTTCCTCGGTTAATAATCATGAAATCAAGAGTGACGGCGAAGAGGCTGATGATGATTGTGAACTTGAAATGGGAAGAACATTGCCTAACACACTGATGGATGCTGAGGTTTTGGAAGAGCAAATGGAAGAATTTATGAGAGTGGAGGGAGTTCATTTGGAAGAATAAATGTGTCTTTTGGCTTATGAAAGTAGCCATTAGGAGGGGAGTGAAAGAGTGTAATTGCCTTGCAGAAGCTCTATGTCCATATATTATATAGTGTTCAGTCAGAAATGACCAGGCAGGTCAACCCTGTTTTGAGAAGTGAACAGAAACTGCAGAATGCACTTGCAAGTGCTGTGTTGAGAAGAGTTTTTCTCATTGAAGGTATCATATTCGATTCCTACACACTACTTGCTACTTCGACCATATGGCAGCGATCTTGTATTTCTAGTGAGACACTATGGTTCGAAAAGTGAAAACAAGTTTCAGTTTTGTGCGGCAGCTAGGTGCAGATACAGAATTCTTCGCTCTGGAAATCTATGAGCTTTCGATATTCCTTGTCATGTTATTGCAAACAAGTATGAATACTAATTTTGAAGGTTGAATCTTAGGATGGCCTGAACTTCTCATCCAACCTTAGGTATATCTTGTTGACCAACTTGCTGGCTTCTGCGCAGTCCTGGAATTTCTTGTCCAATTGCGACACTAATGATTGTACACAATTCTAGCCGGGCTTGTAATTTAGCCCAATTAATTATAACTACTACTTTGACTATTAATATTATATATTTAATGGAGGCCCTTATTGGTTAGAAAATCAAACAGGGTAAAACCATTTAACCAAACCAAACTAATGACCCAAATTAACAAACCAAATAGTTCGAATACGTTGTTTGGTACAATGGATCCATTGTAACAATACATTGTTTGATTGTTGAGATTCTAGTTTATGTATTGGTTTGAATAAAGTTATTTCAAAGGGAAATGTCACATTTACCCTCAATACTTCGTATAATACAAAAAAACAATAGAGGTACAAAGGGATCGAAAAAGTGGACACAAATCTAAACTCAACAATCACAACAATCTCAACTTCTTTTATTTGAAATTATATAATTCATCCTCTTTTGTGATTGTTGGTGGCACCTACCTAAAAAAATGCATGCATTCCTTCACACTTTGACCCTATAAATCATTGTATTGTGCAAAATATTATTTAGTCCATTACTAAAGGGTTGTTTTGAGGTTGTGAAAAGTAGGAGTGGTAATCGGTCGGTTAACCGGTTACCGACCGACCCGATTATGGTATACCGTTTACCATGTACCGACCGACCGACCCGATTACGGTATATTGTTTACCATGTACCTTACCATGAGGAAGAGGCCGAATACCGATACCAGTTAGGGATGGCAATGAGGCGGGTTTGCCTAAACTATCCCCATCCCCGCTTTCAAATATCTATACCCATACCCGCCCTATACCCATGCGGGGAAGGTTTTGCAAACCCATCACCCATACCCATGAATTTCGGGTACCCTTGGGTAATACCCGCCCCGTACATCCAACACTATAATACCGAATATTTTACATGTAGATTTTGAATTGTAACAGTAAACTCACCTACTATATCATGAAGTCGGCAAATAGACAATCATTTATAATACGATTCAAAGCATCCATTAATCCATATTAGAGTAGAGTACAATGTCATCCAAATCATTATTCTCTACTCTGATACATCTATTAAGTAATAATAACTAACATAATCTCTTAACAAGGGGAAAAAGTGAAAGAGTGAATGGAAAATTGAGAGAAAAAAATATATTTTGATTTGGATGACCACTCAATTGCATTTCTACCATATATCTTTCTTGAGTTATACTCGTTGTTATTGATAGGTTACAAATTGATACACATATTTTTCATATATGAAGAAATATTTGTGGTGGGGCGGGTATGGGTATGGGGCGGGGAGGCTAAAACCATACCCGCCCCATACCCATCAAACTTTTTGCGGGTTTTACCCATACCCACCCCATACCCAGTCAATGCGAGGATTCCCTGCATTGACTTGGTCGGGGGCGGTCGGATACCCGTGGCCATGGGTTTGTTTGCCATCCCTAATACCAGTTTGTAACCGATTACCGAATAGACAGTTACCGGTTACCAACCGGTTATACCGAGTACCGACTACCATCTCCGCCACCTCTCTATTTTCTTTCTCTCGACCCGTCCTCTCTCTCCCTCTCCCTCTCCACAACCCTCCTCTCTCTCTCTCGATCTCCTCTCCCAGCTCTCCCCTGTTTCTCGATCTCCTCTCCCCATCCCTACCGCCACCACCGCATGCGGGTATCACACAAGTTTTCTCTCCGCCGCTCTGACCACCAGCCGTTGCCGCCGCCGGATTAGGGATTTTTTGGGGTTTCTGTAGATCCAGGTGGCCTTCAATCCAGCCGATTGTCTTTCCACGGTGGGTCACGGCGGGTCATTGTTGGGCGTCGATTAGAGAATGGAGAGGGTTGTGGTTTTGTGGAGATCGAGAGAGAGATAGGGGAGAGTCGTGGACTCACTGCATGTTCTTATTCCGCTTCCATGAACTCTAATTGCTCGCCCCTGTTTAGGGATTTGGGCTCTTCTAGTCTTGGAGATGGAATTCGGCAGTTGGGCTTCTCTCGATTTCGAGTTTTGGCGGTATCTGGGGGTGGGAGTGAGGAGGATATGGTAATGGTAACTCTGGCGGAGGCAGGGGTGGTGAGGCGCCGATGATGGTCATTCTTCTCCCGATGGAGGTAGCTGGTCTTTGTCTCTCTCAATTGATATCTCCGACCGACAGTTCCTCTGCCGTCCCAAACTTCTCCAGCCAGATTGGCGGTCTCCGGGTCTCGAATCTCCGCCACCATTTCTGCAACAGTCGCTGCAAGTAGGGAGGGAGGAGGAGAAGACGGAGATAGACCGACAGTGAAAGATCTCGGTGGTGGTTGGTCTGGTCGGAGGGAGAAGAGAAGACGGAGAACGGATGGTGGTCGATCTGCTCACGGGGCCGAGGCAACAAAGAATGGAAGGATCGAATTAATGGATTACGGATTCAGAGGGAACTTCTTCCTGGGAGAGATGGAGAGAATTGGGGTTTGGGGGTTACTAACGGGGTGATAGAAGGATAAGTTTGGGATTTGGGGAGGATATATCGGTTACTTGGTATTACCAATAACCATCGGGTTTTAACCGAGCATGGGTCGGTATACCGGCAGCTGGATTTTGGCCACCTTATATCGATACCGCCGGTTAATGGTTAACTGGTAACCGCCGATTATCAGTTTGGTAACCGGTTAAACCATTAACCGGATACCCGATTACCAACCCTAGTGAAAAGCACAATCTACACCTCCAAATAAGTGATTTTTCAAATACAACTAGTCAAGCAAACCATCAATTTGGACTGCACACATTGATAGAATTCATTAATCTAAAGAATCACAACCTCCAAACAAACCCTAACTAGGAAAAAATGCAATGAAATGTGAGATTACATTTCCAAGCGACCTCGAAATCAATCCATACAATGACACGAGAGACAATGAAGTGAAAGATAAAGTCAAGAGATACATTGTAGGAGCCGATCAATCTTGGCTCTTCCATACTCGTCTCGACCTAATGATATATTTCTATTTTCAAACATGACATAGAAAATCACAACAATGGAGGTTGCCATGTCGCGAATATATTACTCAATAAGCAACATCATTTATAATTGCAACTTCAACATCCATTGTGTTTTATGATTTAATGAAATTACTTTACAAACAAGAAAATGAATTCTACCCAAAACAAATAAGAAACAATATATTAAACGATCAATCATAGTGCCGATAATAACAATTCCCAAGTTTGTTTCATATGTTGTGTTCTTCACTTCTTCTCGTTCACAAGGTAAAATGAGTGGCAGAGTGTGTAATTTTTTAATAGCATCAAGGGCAAAGGCTAACAAGTTCGACTATATAAACAAAGTGGCTCTAACCCTAAACAAATACATCTAAGTCGACCCTCCAACTTTCTCCTCCCATCTACGTTATTCTCTCCCCCATTTCCTCTGCCTTTTCCTCCTATTTACTTTATTCTCTCCCACGTTCTTCTTGTGACTGAAACCTAGAAAAGAAAGACGTAGACCCTAAGTAGGTGGAGATTGCCGCCGAAGGATAATCACTATTGCATTCACTGCCCTGACCCATTATGACTTTCTACTAGATTATTCTTCTTCTTGCGATAGTGGGTCCACCCCATACGGAGGTAATAGCCCTAAACCCTAACCTAATCATCAAAATTAACAATCAATGTTGGCCCAAAAGTCGTTTAACAGTCTCCTCGTTTTATTGTCTTGTTTGTTCTAGATTGAGTTGCGCTGGAGGCATAGTGGGAGTTTCAATTTGTAGGACGTCTAAATATAGCACAACACTTCACCAAATATAATTAACGTTTCAATAAAAAAATGTTAGACAACTATACTTCATTTGGTGAAAGTATTGTGCTACATTGACACCTACATGTTGTTGATCTTCCGTAATGCAAGTACAATAGGTTGCTTTTAACGCTCCAAGCCCTAAGGCGGTACTTGGCACAACCCATGACGGTATAAGGCGGCACGACCTCGACAATGGAGGGGTTTTTGGTTTGATCCACGAGATTGAACTCGTTATGTTAGCTATGATCATCAATTGTAATAATAGATTTTGGCCACAAAAATAATTGTGGAACCAGTACCTCATGTGGTGCTTGTCTAGTTTTCCTTATGTAAGCTACGAATTCTCTATTTGTTGGTAGTGGTGCTCCTATAAACCACTAATTAAAGCAAACACGCACCAATTTTCTTACCCAATGCAAAGGATTGCCCAAATTAGTAGGTTTTGAATCCAGAAGATAGGTATAAAGCGAGGGGGCAAATTCTTTTGTAACGTTCTCTATATCCAGCCTGTTCGCCGGAAGAGTTTCATTTGGCAATTATATTTATCTATAAAATAAATAATATTAATAGCCTTTCTAATAAACGTGTCATCCACATCAGCTCTGTAACCATCATCTGTGATTTTCGCTCAAATATCTTTTAATTTTGGGTTTTTTTAACAAGCGAGCTTTACTCGGCTATCGTTGCGCGTAATACTAATTTGCAAGCTTCATTGAATTTATTTGTTGGCCTTTTGGGTTATGTTAAATTTTAGTTTAACACCTTTATTAGTCATAACACCTTCACTTGAGTTTTATGAGACATTGGCCTTACAAGGCTAGGATGTGATCAATAGTAAAAATAAGGGTAGAGGTTGTTTGGTTGTATGATGTGGAAATTTCCAAGGATTGAGCTCAGTAATTTGCTTCACGTAGCATGTAATTAAAAGAACCCCATTGTACAAGTTGATAAGTTTAAACGAAGTCATCATCAATTAAAAACAATCCAAGAATTCGTCCATCTTCCTACATCTCATTTAATTACAAAATATATGAAATTCATCACTAATTAATACGTTTACAACAACAAAAGCTAATCAACGTCTATTAAGTTTCCAACACCAGCTGAAATGATCCATAATCTTTTTAATAACATATATTTCTTAAACCTATTGCTTGGCCCATCAAGCCCATAAAAGAATCACATATTGGATCCCAAATTATTGCATTACTCTAAGCCTAATCGTGAGGTGTTTTCATGAAGATTGATTGTGTTTGAGCATTTCAATATCTTATGCTATTTTAACCTAGGTAGAGGGGAATCTCCTTTGAGTAGTGGCTTGTAAAAGCTGGATTTCCTTGGGCAATCTTTGTCTCCTACTTAGGTTAAATTAGGGCAAATATCTTAATTCGTATTAACACCTAGGGTTGGTAGTATTTTTCTCCGTCCGAACTCCGATTCGAGGGTGAAGTCTAGGCAACCCTTGGTTGATAGGTTTAATAAGGGTACTTTGGTACCTGGAATCGGAATCCCTTGGCCTATTGTTCGAGAGAGTGGCGTTTGTTCACTAGTTGAACTTCCCAATGGTTTACAACCGCTTTTCCCACACCTATGAATTCGATCCGACAAGTCATTATTGTTAGCTAGGGGAAGCAACACCTAGATGAAGCCTTCTCAATTAGTGTCCAATCCATTTACTTTTTAAAATGTTTTAGTTATAGATCATTGTTTTCGCAAAAAACCAATTGGTAGATAATGTTTCAAACAATCGAAAGTAGGGGTACATAGTCCGGCACTGGTTGATATTTAAACATACTTGCCTTACATTGCACCCGGTTAAGGTTTATACTTGGACCTTAATTGGGATTTTTATTGTCATATTCGAGATGAGTCTAGTTTTTGGCGCCGTTGCCGGGGAACTTCTGGTCCATTATTTCGAAAAGATTGTTAGGTTTTAATATAGCTTTACTTTTTTCTTTTGTGTGTGTGAATCTTGCTTGTGTTAGACGAGTTGTGGTTCTTTTGATTGTGTGCAGAAGGGTGTATGACCTGGAGTAATCCGACATCTTTGGCGCCACTAGACAAGAATCTCAACCACACCTGCGACTTTTGGCTCGTGAGAGGGAACTGGCAGAAGCAAGAAGAATGATAGAGGAGAGGGGACAACCACAAGTTGGTCCTGAAGTTGAAGGAGTTGTAGTTGAGGAAGAATTTGAATCCAAAGAGGAAGGAAGTGAAGGCGAGATGGCGGCTAATCAAGAAGCTCAAGCAGGAGAGGTGGAGCAACCGAGGACCATTGGCTACTACATGGCTCCACGGGCAGCAGATATTCGACTTACCATTTTACATCTGCCCGTGGCCGCCAATAATTTCGAGATCAAGCCCGACACCGTCACAATGATCGAAAACAATGTGAAATTCCATGGGCTTAAAGATGAGTCTCCGAGGGAGCATGTTCAAAGTTTTATCGAGATTGCGTAAAGCTTGAAGATAAATGGGGTGCCCGAAGATGCTTTGTAGTTGAGTCTATTCCCCTACCCTCTTGCGGGGAAAGCGCTCATGTGGCTCAACAATAGACCACTCCCTCTTGATTACGTCATGGGACGACTTGCTCAACAAGTTCATGACCCGATATTGCCCACCTTCCAAGACGGAGGAGTGTTGCAAGAAGATCACTCATTTTGGACAAGGTGATGATGAGACATTGAGGGATGCATGTGAGAGGTATTCTGACTACTTCCTCCAATGCCCACATCATGGATTTGAAGAACAGTTTCAGATTGAGACCTTCTATGGTGGTCTCCTCCAAGATGGAAAGATCTTCATTGACACCTTCTATGGTGGTCTCCAATTGACCCATGGGTTGGGTCAACCCAGTTGGTCCACCCGAATACGGCCCGCCCGGCCCGTGGACTTGGGGTCGGCCCACAGCGGGTCCGCACCAGCTCTACTGACCCGGCCCGAGCGGTGGTCTGGGCTCGGTCCAGCTTGCCCCTGCAGCCCATGGCCCGCTTGGCCCAGCTCCCTACGCTCCTGGCCCACTCGGCGGCCACTGATGGCGCGACCCATTCCCCGGAAGACGCGGCCCGTAAGAGCTCGACCATGGCGGTCCATACGGCCCGTTTGCGTCCCCGGCGCACTGCTCCGCTCGCTCCGGCCCGCCCGTGATCAGGCCTGGCCCAGACATCCTTTCTCCACCTCGGTTTCTCCTGGGCCAACCCCGTAAAGCAAGGCCCCAGTCAGGCCACCCATATTGGGCCCTAGCCCACGAAATACTCCTCCGCGGTTGGTGGGCTCCGGAGTCGGCCTCATCGATGGCCTCCCCCCTTGGGCGTCGACATGCTCCTCCTTGCCATCGACGGTGAGATTCCCCCAGCCAGCTCCGAAGGGAATCCCACGACCGATCCCTCCACTGCGCCCCACACTCTCGACCGGTGCCCCGTTCATCACTCCCAGTTTCGTTCCTGGCGTCGGTGTCGAGTTCCCGCTTGTGGAAGAGGGAAACCCCTCGTCCATGGCGACTGCCTTCAGCTTCTCTGCAGCCGTGATCTGGTCGATGGTGCGACCATTTCCCCCAGCGACGAGGTGGAGCTCCTTCGACGGCTCGGCTTCCTTCTTCTCCCAAGTCAGATCGCGCAGGATTGCGAGGATCGCGCTGACGTCATTCGCCAACCGCCCTTGCTCAACGCGGACAACGTTGATCTCCTCCGACAACCGATCTTGTTCATCCTGAAGTTTCTCCTGACCACGCTGCTATTGCCCGACGTCGACGCGGAGATGCTCCAGGGCTGCTTCGTGATCGCGGTTGATAGCATCCTGAGCTTCCATCCTAGCCACGATCGCCTGTTGATGACCGGCGAGAACTTGAAATTGAAGCGCTAGCTCCTCGTCGCCGGCGGCGGTTGGTGATGATGGTGTCGTTGGTTGCTTGCGCGGTGGCATGGTCTCCTGGCTTGGTTCACTCGGAACCAGGCTCTGATACCAATTGATGCAGAACGGGATTTCACGCACCAGTGATCTCGAGCGATTTAGTGAAAGAACTAGAAAACACGATAAAAGAGCTACTTTTCTCTACTAACTACTTAATACTTTATTGATCGACTGAATAAAACGAAGAGCAAAGGTACATATTTATAGGACAAGTCCCACAAACCGCTTTCCTCTTAAGACAAGGAAACCCAAACCCAAAGCAACAAGTAAACGAATACGTCCTAAACAAGATACATAATAATAATCCTAGACCCAAACTAATACGAATAACCCAAATAATAACCGAATATCCCACCAAATAATAATAATAAAACAATAATAATAATAATAATAATATTATTAATGGGCTCGGCCCAAGACGCCGTCACCCATCAGAGCGAGAACCAGTTCAGTAGCAGCTAGCTAGAGGAGTAGTTAGAGAGCAGCGAGTTCGAGAGAAAAAGTTCAAGGGCAGCTAGCTAGAGGAGAGCAGTATAAGCGTCACGGATGATGCTTATTCAAGGGTTTCAGTAGCATCAACATTAGAGATTATCAGTTATTTACATTTATGATTATGAGTATAGACTGGAGATCAGTTTGAGATTTTAAAGTTTGAGTTTAATTTGCCCACGTGTTAGGGCTTTGCTCTGAGCTACAAGTGTGTGTTTTCAGTATTTTGTTTATGAAAATTGTTTCCCAGTTGAAATTTAAGATTTGAGTATTTTATTTATCAAGGGCATTTTTATCAAAGTAGTACCCGGCCGGGTTAGGGTGTTACATTTTGGTATCAGAGCCGACCTTCCTCTGTTCCTTGGTCTCCAAGGAATACTGGAATATGGGTCTCAGTTTTAAAGGCTTTTGTTTTAAAGGAAAGGGAAAACGAGTCAAGGATCTTCTTTTATGAGTTTATAGGATCTCCAGTCTACTCTAATCATAATAAGGTGAATAACTATTACATCACGACACTACGAGAAGGTAGCCCAATGGTGCAATTGGTTTAAGAATAAGCTAGGACGCGAGTTAAGTTATCACGTCGTGGGACGTCAAATAAGAGACTGAGGCGTATGGCGATCATCAATATGAGAGGAAGGAAGCAAGAAGGTGACCAACCCAAGTAGAATCTCAAAGGCTCTCAAGACCAAGTATCTCATCGACATGATGGATAGTAGTTTTTCAATTAGTTAACCAACTACTCGGACGTTAGCAAACAGATCATCATCATCAACCTAGGGAAGGAAGGAGGAACGTTACAAAGGTCTGTGGAGATAGAATCAAATGTGCGAGGACTTCAACTCCAAACACCAGCAAAGAAGTGCCAATTGAAAGGGAATACCTCAAGGATGTTGAAGGAGTTGAGAGAGTAGTACGAGGATTTTACTTCTAGGAAAAAAGTGGATGATCTAATAAGCTAAGACCAACAATAGGAGAACTATGAATCTCCGAAGAAAGAGTTACAATCACTAGATGGAAGTGGCTATAATGAAAGGAGGACTTCAGGGTCCTTGACCCTAAGCAGTGGCGAGGAAGCAACGAGCCAAGAAACGAAGAGGTACCACGAGAAGTCCCTCAACTAGTTTTAGTGGTCAACGCTATTACAACATAGTGACAAGGAGCAGTGAAAAGCTTAGACCTCAAGCAAAGCTAGGGTAGTGTAAATGAAGTAAATGAGGAAGTAAGTAGGGTAAAGGAGGGGTGACAGAAGGAGGAACCTCTCTAATAAGTTGAAACTGGAGGGCTAAGAGCTGAAGTCTCGAAACTAGCTATAGGAGTAAGTCATTAAGCCAACCGGGTATAGACAAGTAAGTGGAACGTTCAATAAATGCTCTAGTGAATGACATGGAATTTTAGGAAGCACATGGAAGTGCCGATGGAGGATTGAGAATATGTGTAGGTGACTCGGGTTCAAGAAAATGCATAATGGAGTACGATGAGGAAAAGCATTACAGAGAAGGAGGGAAAAGAGAAGTTACTAATAACATCGATTTGCACATGTTTGCACCCTCGTTTCTTGATCATTTTGGATTGAGTTTCTGATTTCTTGGACTATTTTACGCTAGGTTGTGTTCCTTTGTCACATTTCAAGTCCTAGCATGTGAATTGAAGCATAGGCGCAAGTTTCAAGTCAATCGGAGGTCATTTGGCAATTCGGGAGAAGAAACACGAGCATGACCTGAGGAATAATGGACTTCTACCTCATATTATGGACAAATAATCATGGAATTTTTTTATGAAAACAAAGAGGACGAGACTACGAGCGTTTGGGATCAAACGGCGACTGATTCGGAGTCCGGACGAGGGAGAAACGAAGCATTAAACAGAGGCTGAGCAAGCCACACGGGCACGACTCACACGGCCGTGTGGAAATCACCGAGCCTTCACACGGGCAGCTGGGAAAGCCACACGGCCTTATGATAGATAGAATCTGAGAGAGAGATCTGGGTTTTTAGTTCCTAAACACCCAAGGGACGAACCCTAGAGAGAGAGAGAGCGACTTGGGAACATTCTTGGAGCTATTTTGGAGGATTTCTTCGCCATTGGAGCTCCGGAATCAAGCTTGGAGATGGAGATTGAAGATCTAGATCAGATTTCTGCAGTCTCTCTCTTCTCTATGGAGTAACTTCCCTTCACTTAGGTTTTGAGGAACCCTAGTTCCATGTGTTAGGATCTTTCTTGTATGAAGTTTTGGATGCTATATTGTTTGATTATAATCGATTGAGGCATGATTTATTGAGTCAATTGAATCTTGATCAAATTCTCTTGATTTTTGCTTTAACCTATGATAGATAGAATCTGATTAGGTTAAGAGAGCTTCCTTGATTGATGGTGGTGAATTGGTTATACCAGAGTTAGTCAATCTACTGCTTTGTACTGGAATCCAATTCCGGTATTGGAGTTCTGTGTTCATAGCCTCAGCTTTCTATCCCAGTCAAGGTTAGTCGCCTGCCAGGTAGTTGGACTGAGAGGGCTTGGTCAGCTTAAGAGATTCCAAGCTACTATCGGATCTTCCGCAGTTTAATCAACAGTAGATCAACCAAAGGTAATTGCAACTTGGACCTAATTGAGGAGCTAGGGGGATTCATACCTAAGTGAGTTCACAACTTGTAATTAGTAGAGTAGTTAGTAGAGTAGTTTAGTAAATCAATCCTTAATCTAGTTTGCTAGATAATGAACTGAAGCTGATTAATAGTAACTCTAGAGACCCGTGGATTCGATATTTATTAATTGTGCCACTATATTGGAGTGCCTTTCATTGGTTACTCTTGGCCATTGTTAGGTGTTGTGTTTTAGCGTGTCAAGTTTTTGGCGCCGTTGCCGGGGACTTTCTAGATTATTAGGAAAGGCAGAAGTTTGTTACTTTAGCGTTTTTCTTTTCTTTTCCACCCTTGCTTTTCACTTGGGTGTTTTTGTTTTTGTTGGTGCAGCTCTGAATCATGGACCCTCATGGCTTCTCCAACCATTGGGGGTATCAACCACCATCCGTGTGGTATTACCCCGAGACTTCCTGGAGCAATCAAGGAGGAGAAGACTATGGGTTCGGATGTCAGTACCAACCCCCCTTCTACGGAGAACAACCAAATCCTTGGGAACCTCAAGGAAAATATCCTTATCAAGAAGAATTCCTCCCACAACAAGAAGGGCCATCAGATCTTGAGTTCGCCACAGCCTTCACGGGCGATCCGGCAGAGCCATGCTACACTCCACAGCCAAATCCAAACTATCACTTGAGGTTTCTTGTGGAGCAGATTGCTCGAGTACCTGAGAGATCCTTTCCCGAGATGGAACATCATATCCAGGCCATTGCCCAAACTGACTTCTCCTTTCCCCGTGAAACAGAGGATACCCTTCGGAGCATAAAGAAGCACATAGAGGTCATTGAGAAAGCCTGTTCACAGTTTTCTCAAGACAACCTTTATGCTGCCGTACAAGTAGAGGTGGAGGAAGAAGAAGGCAATCGTGAGGATGTTGAGGAGCATACAGAAGTTGTCAAGGAAAACTCCTATGATAATCATGATCAAGTTTATCCTCTAGTGGTAGATCACAACTTTCCCCATTTCCGCTATGAAATGCTGGGCCCGAGCGAGGAGATGCAAGCTGAACTTATTGAGAACCTTGCATGGGGACTTGCTCTCCAATCAGTTATGGAAGAAGAAGAGAGAGAAAGGGTGAGGAAAGAAGTTGTGGAGGATGAGGAAGAAAGAAAAGAAGAGGTAGTTCTTAATCTTTTCCGAGGAGAGAGACCACATTTTGAAGAAGGAAGGGGGGTTAAAGAAGCGAGTGGTGTCCAGGCTGAGGATGAAGTTGAGGTGGAAGAGGCTTGCTCCGGCCCTATAATACAAGTAATATACCCACCAAACTTTGAGGAACTACTTAGCAAGGACCCATTTGCAGTGTCTCTTTGCCAGACCAAGGCCACATCAACATCGGTCCCTCTTGGTGGACGCGATGGTGGTCAATCGATTTTTTCATATATGGTTTGGGGCAATGAGACGAGAGAAGAGAAGAAGAGGTCTCGAGGATGGAGACTTCATTTGCATCAAGTGCACGAGCTTCCATCACCAGTCATACCACATGCTTGTGACTTGCGACTCCACCTCATTGACGAGAACCTCAACTTTAAGGAGGTTCTAGCATGGACCGAAACTTAGGAGCCATCGTCCGGCTCACGACGTGAAAGAAGAGCTTGTTGGGAGGCAACCCGACCAGTCGGTTTGCATTTCTTTCTCTATTTCTCCTCGGTTGAGTCAGTTTTGTTATTTGATTTTAGATTCAATAACTCAACCTTTGTGAGAATTTGTGTGGTGTTTGTGTTCTGACCACTCTCTCCTCCTGGAATACACCGCCTGCCCCGTCCACCATCATTCACCCTGGATCTGGTAACTTCGTTCTACCCTCCTTATCTTTCCTCCATTGAGGACAATGTCGTGCTTAAGTGTGGGGGGATGTTCGATTATGTATGCGAGTGAATGGTTGGCTGTTTGTGTGCTTGGAGCCTAGTCCACTGTCCAAATTTTTAAATTTGAGGGCTCCAAGTACTGCTGTATGCTTGATCATATTGTCACTATGGTTTTAATTGGTGAATTGAATGGCTTTCGACTTAATGCATGACAACTGGATTGTGACTAGGACAGCCTATTATGATGACTGAGACGTGTAGTAGGATTGTGTAGGGGTTCAGTTTTTCAACTGTTTGCTTACCAACTGTGACTTGAATGGATCACTTGTTCTTGACAGTCAGTTATGCATCTAGTTCAGGGAATCAGAATGAGAGATAGAGCATATAGGTAGCCATGTGAGATTTGAGCCTGCTCGTTTCTTTCTTGTGCGATAGTTCCCTCTTCCATTGTCACTAGCTAAGATGATGGAGGCATAGGATTAGCCCAAGACCAAATTGACTGTCCTGGTGTGTCATACCCCCTAGTCAGCCCCTTTGAGCCGTGTGTTATCCTTTTTTCGGTCTTCAATGAAAAGTCACCCTTTCGCATCTTTTAGAAGGTTTCACAGAGTGATTTTTACATGTTCTCTGCTGTTTCTGCTAAATATAATGTGAGAGTTGGAGGTAGTTCTTAAAAAGTTGGGCATGTGTTTGAAAATGTGCAGAGGTGGTGGTTCTCTTAAGAAATGAAAAAAATGAAAGAAAAACAAAGAAAAAATGAAAGCAAAAGTGAGCTACCACCAAAAATCTGAATAGTGCCCCATTAAGTAGTGTTTCTTAGCAGTTTGGCTTAGAGATACTGGTATTTATGTGACCTCCTTCGCTCTTGTTCTCTGAATAATTTGAGTAATGTAGAATAGCAGAAAGAAAGTAATGGTTTGATTGACTGTGAGTTTGTTGGGTATGGAAATGTGGAACCTTGAGCTATGAATACTTCCACCACCTAAAAGGCCTTTTCCCCATGTCCAAGACCCTAGCCAGTCATTTGAACCTGTGTCTAAGACCTCCTGATTAGTTAGTGATGACAACCATTTATGTGGACTCTAACATTTAGAGGTTGCCGTCATGGTGAAGAGATGTTAGGGATTGAGAGAATAAGCATGCGTATTTTTCGCATCATATTGTCTTGACCCCACTGGTCGAGAGTGAGCGATTCATTTTCTCATATTCTCTATACTCTTGTACCCCGGTGAGGACCTAGATTGCTCGGTCTCTATTCTGATATCTTGAGTTTTGTGCATGAGGTGAGTGTCTTGAGTAAGTGGTTGAGTCAATTCTATGTTGATTGACGAACAGAAGGGAGACTCCTCCTTTACTCGATTTTGCTGCACTCGAATGTCCTCTGTGATGGTTGTCCAGGTTGCGGTTGAAGTTGTTCATGTGTTGATGTTTGAAAGCCGGTGTGATTCCCATGTTTTGTGCCTATATGATTTGTCCCCAATGTTGGTATGATTGAAATTGTGAGCTTACCTTGTGTCTGACTTGGTTTGCTTGGGGACAAGCAAACGGTTAAGTGTGGGGGAGTTTGATAACATCGGATTTGCACATGTTTGCACCCTCGTTTCTTGATCATTTTGGCTTGAGTTTCTGATTTCTTGGACTATTTTACGCTAGGTTGTGTTCCTTTGTCACATTTCAGGTCCTAGCATGTGAATTGAAGCATAGGCGCAAGTTTCAAGTCAATCGGAGGTCATTTGGCAATTCGGGAGAAGAAACACGAGCATGACCTGAGGAATAATGGAATTATACCTCATATTATGGACAAATAATCATGGAATTTTGTCATGAAAAGAAAGAGGACGAGACTACGAGCGTCTGGGATCAAACGGCGACTGATTTGGAGTCCGGACGAGGGAGAAACGAAGCATTAAACAGAGGCCGAGCAAGCCACACGCGCACGACTCACACGGCCGTGTGAACTGGCCATGTGGCCGTGTGGAAATCACCGAGCCTTCACACGGGCAGCTGGGAAAGCCAAACGGTTGTGTGGCCTGGCCGCGTGATCGGGAATTTCTGTTTAAAACTCGATTTTCAGCCAAAGGAAAGGGGAGAGCTGGGTTTTTGGTTCCTAAACACCCAAGGGACGAACCCTAGAGAAAGAGAGCGACTTGGGCACATTCTTGGAGCTATTTTGGAGGATTTCTTCGCCATTGGAGCTCCGGAATCAAGCATGGAGAGATGGAGATTGAAGATCTAGATCAGATTTCTGCAGTCTCTCTCTTCTCTATGGAGTAACTTCCCTTCACTTAGGTTTTGAGGAACCCTAGTTCCATGTGTTAGGATCTTTCTTGTATGAAGTTTTGGATGCTATATTGTTTGATTATAATCGATTGAGGCATTATTTATTGAGTCAATTGAATCTTGGTCAAATTCTCTTGATTTCTGCTTTAACCTATGATAGATAGAATCTGATTAGGTTAAGAGAGCTTCCTTGTTGATGGTGGTGAATTGGTTATACGAGAGTTAGTCAATCTACTCCTTTGTACTGGAATCCAATTCCGGTATTGGAGTTCTGTGTTCATAGCCTCAGCTTTCTATCCCAGTGAAGGTTAGTCGCCTGCCGGGTAGTTGGACTGAGAGGGCTTGGTCATCTTAGAGATTCCAAGCTACTGTCGGATCTTCCGCAGTTTAATCAACAGTAGATCAACCAAAGGTAATTGCAACTTGGACCTAATTGAGGAGCTAGGGGGAATCATACCTAAGTGAGTTCACAACTTGTAATTAGTAGAGTAGTTAGTAGAGTAGTTTAGTAGATCAATCCTTAATCTAATTTGCTAGATAATGAACTGAAGCTGAGTAATAATAACTCTAGAGACCCGTGGATTCGATATTTATTACTTGTGCCACTATACTGCAGTGCCTTTCATTGATTACTCTTGGCCATTGTTAGGTGTTGTGTTTTAGCGTGTCAGTTACCTTACCCAAGTTGCCCCACTCTGAGCGAGTACGACATAGTAGGATGTCATCCATAAAAGAAGGCCAGTTAAGGATAAATTAGTGATATTTAGTTAAGCCACTAAGAGATTAAGGCTATGTACAAGCATCGGTCGAGACAAAAGACGTGGATGAGGTATGTTCAAGCCTACCAAGGCCAAGCCACCATTGGAAGGTGTGACCTAAAACAACAACGAGAAGATACTCAACAGAGGTTGGTGACCAAATATAGTACGATCAACAACAGGAGAGTTGTAGTTTAGTGGTAGTAAAAGTAAAGAAGCAAGAAGAACACCGTGGGAAATTATAGAAATTTTTTTTTGGCGATGTATGCATCAAGGAAGATAGAAAGACGGGCGGAAGCATGAGTACAACAGACAACAAGAAAGCATTAGGTTGACCACCAAGTAGAGAACAACCGATCCATAGGAAGTCCATAGAGATATTTCAGTCAATTTTTAAGGTGGAATCATGATCGTCAGGAATAGTCGAAGGGAGAACCTTATCGATCATGGTACAAGAGTGAGAAGTGAAAATAGGGACCTAGAGGACTACATCGAGAACAAGGAACATCAAGAAGAAGAGTCATGAGTAAAGAAGTAAGTGGGATATGAGTTTAGGGAACCTGCTAGGATACCCCAAAGTGAAACTAAGATCGCCTATGTTGGTAAAAGGTGTCAATCTCTCGGGTAAAACCTTATTGGAAGGGGAAACAGTACGAGGAGTTCCAGCTTGGGTCTAAGAGTGGTAGAATGGATATTACGGGAACATAAAATTCAAGCAGCGATAAGTAAGTGCTAAGTTAGGCGCCAGGAGTGAACAAGTAAGCCAGAGAGAATGCTATGATTCTTGAAAGGAATCATAAAGTTGATCACAAGCTAGAGAAAGATGCAAAGGATGCCTCTAATGCATATAGAAAGTAAAAGCAGTAGTATGAGGTTTTGGAGCTAAGCAACATGTAACGAGGAGATGACCATTCAGTCGGTGGCTAAAGGGAGAGACAAAGAATCTTGGAAGAACGTAAGAGATTCAAAGTCAGAAGGTTCAAGGACCTAGGTGATCTACGTGGTCAACCACAGATGAGCTTATGTTAAAAGAGTTTTGCGATATAACAAGATGGAGGTTAAGCCACCATTAGCAACCTTTGGGTTGAAAGGGGTATTAAGAACGTCAATAGGGATGTGTAAGGGATTTTCTCTTGTTAAAGGAACCATATATGGTGAATCGGGCGTCAAGTTGTGCATCAAGGGGAGCTACTAAGCAAGGTTATAATGAGGTATATATAGGGGGGGGGGGGGGAAAGCAATACCCAGGGAGCGACCTATGAGTAAGCCATTAACCAAGTCACGCATTCGCTATGGACATCCATGTTAGGGAATTCAAGTGGAGATGTGAACATACAATATATGGAAAGCGTAGTAGTTCAAGGTCTGAGCACCTTATGAAATGAAGTTACGACGGGTCATATCCTGAATAGGGCTGTCTAAGAATTTATTTCCTTAATGGTTCTTAAGAAATCCGGAGTAGAGACCCAAGACAAATAGTGAGGACAATATGAGCTATGAAGCCATTACACCATCAGAGGCATTTAAGAAGGGATAGTGCCATGGACGCATTAAGCAAGTAACTAGCTTGAGCAAGAGATTTATCAAAAGTGGGTGAGTAATTAGTTGGCCAAGAACCACACAAATCGGAGGAAAGGGTTCATAGCTCAAGGTCGTATAAGGTAAAGGAAGTATAAGACCTTGCAGCAGACAGATTGCCTCAAGTGAGACTTTAGGTTATCAACAATGAACAAATTTCAAGGTCGAAATTTTTCTTAAGGAGGGAGGAAATGTGACACCTCGAATTCGATCTAAGGTTAAAAAACAAGTACTGAATGGGCGGGACCAATAAATCGACTCGAAGTGTTGTCCCGTCACGCTTTATGCCCAAGTGGGGAATCAAAAAGGATTAGTAGCCACCCAAAGCTACCCGATGCCAACGAACTTGGTGAGAATCCCTTACATGGTCAAGAGGAAATATAAGAAGTGAGGTAAACTATACGGGACAAGCAACGAACATCGGACAAGCAACGGACATCATCGAAGTACATTTAGCTAGAGCAAATTCTTGAGGCAAGGAAGTACAAAGATGGTGTAGAATGAGCAATGAGTTTCAAGCAAATTTCGGGGACGAAATTTTTATAAGGGTGGAGGAAATGTTACACCCCGACCTTTGGGTTCACGTTCGACCGTAATACGTGAACAGTTCGATCGACGGTTACGTACGGAGGGTTTCAATCATGGGTTAATTTATAATAATAATAATAATAATAATAATAATAATAATAATATAAACTATATTATTATTATTATTAAAAAATAATGGAAGAAAACGCTCTCCTTGGCAGCTCTCGGCCTCAACTCCACTTTACCCTAGCATATATATAATTATATGCAGAAAAATCACAGCCGAGAAACTCAATTATCCCCCCCCCCCATTTCTTTTCCCTTCCCTGCACGACCCCGAGCAGTGAACCACCCAACCCATCTCGTTTCCAGACTCACAAATAGCAACAGGGAAGCAAGAAAGAATACGAGGCGGTGATTTGAGGGAGCTGTGGCGGTGGGTGAAAGGCGTTTGGACAACCGCCAGGTCATGTGTGAGGAGCCAACGATGGAAGTTTCGAGGCCGGAAAGGAGTGTCTCGAGCAACCAGGTGTCGCTGCGTCGTTAGCGTTTGTGATCCAACTCGGAACGTTGGTTGTATCGACGGGAAGGAGGAAATCGAGATGAGAGCGATGGTGATCGACCAATCGGAACCGATAATCCGCAAGCTCACGAGACATAAGAGCGATGGAGGGATCTTCGTTGTTGAGGCGATCCATGTAAGCAAGGTCGGGATCAAGTTTGGAGTTCGTCAGAGGAGTCACCGGGAAGTGACGCCGACGAACACGACTTTGAAAACGTTGGCGAAATTCAAAGTGGTGGGTAAAATCGCGTAGAGGACGATCTCAGGATCGTTGCGGTGTTGACGGAATCGTATTTCGACGTCGGACGATGGAGAAACGAGCATCGAAAGGTTGGAGTGAAAGTCGGACAAATTCAGGTACTGTTTGTGACAATTCGAAAAGTTTAATGACCAAAATCGTAATTTTTTGTCAGAAGTCCGAGTCAATTGTGTTGACTGGATAATTTCAGTCTCGGTACCTGGAACTTTGAAAACTTACAGAATATTTGTTTTGGTCATAACTCGATCAATTGACGTCCAAACGAGGAATCGTCAGCGCCTATGGAATCGTGAGAACGAGGATAATTTAATTGGAGCAAGTATGGAAACTTTAGAGTAGATTCAGAGTTGGTTTCGACGGATTAGAGGTGAGTGTAAAGGGGGTAAATTCTACGCCTTACGATTTTTCAAGTATTTACCTTGAGTATTTTTAAGTATCGATTTACGTGATGTATGTGCAGTGATTGATTCCTGTTTGAGATTGCATGTTTATGTTTGATGGTATGTGCTTTGGTTGAATTATGACTTGAGTGAATGGTTGTTATTTACCTTGAAATTGTCCTGAGTATAAGTTATAGTTAAAGTTTAAGAACCAAGTTCTTTTTAAAGAAGTAACTGACCTTCAAGAAGGTGAAGTCGTTTTAAGTGTTTTTAGTCACTAGCGCCAGTCCGTTTCCTTTTGAGACAGTTTGAGATAGAGCAGCAGTTATGCTCTTGAGATTTTTAAGATGGGCAGCAGTTATGCCCTTGAGAATCGTGGTGAAGAGCCACCACGATAAGTTTAAGATGTTAGGGGGATGAATCGTTACGACTTCCCTAACTAAGTTTAAGTTTAAGGAAAGCCTAGATGGCTTCTCATACATATGAGTTAGCAACCGGACTAGCTAGTGAGGGATCCCCGTGTCAATCAAGTATTTAAGTTGAGATTTAAGCTTTAAGAATGGAGAGTAACAGTTACTCCCATACAGTTTTAAGAGTTAAGATTTTTAAGAATGGAAGTACAAACAACTTCCCTCAGTTTGAGTTTAAGTGTTTGAGAAGAAGTGCAAAATTATTAGAAAGTTCAAAACGTAAGGGCGTAGACTAACCCCAACTCACTCACCAGCCCTTATTAAGGGAATGAACGAGAACTAGTTCAGTAGCAGCTAGCTAGAGGAGCAGTTAGAGAGCAGCGAGTTCGAGAGGAAAAGTTCAAGGGCAGCTAGCTAGAGGAGAGCAGTATAAGCGTCACGGAGGATGCTTAGTCAAGGGCTTCATCTCTAATGCTTGGGACAACAATTTCTATATCAACACATATAACTCAGGGTGGCGGAACCATCCAAATTTCTTATGGTCATCCCCAAGTAATCCGAGACCCCCAATTTCCAAGGACCAAAGGGGAATTATTAGGCAAGGCTTCCCTTCATTTAACAAAGGCTGCAATTTCAAGGATCTAACTTCCAACAACCATTCCAACCTCAAGGTGATCAAGGGTTCCAACAACAACCCGATAGGTTTGCAAAGGTTGAAGACCTAGCGACCACCTTTGTGAGAACGAGCACTCAAAGTTCGAGAAGATTGTGCAATTTATGATTGTGGAAACAACAAAGTTTTCTTTGGTTGAGACGGGATTGAGAAGCCACCAAGCGAGTCTTCAAAACTTGCAGACTCAAATCCACAACCTTGCCGGGATCCTCACTGACTCGTGCTGACTATCACAATAAAATCCCACCTAAGGTCCAAGTATAAACCTTAGATGGGTGCAATATAGGGTAATTATGTTTAAATATCAACCCGGGCTGACCCATGTACCTCTACTTCGATTGTTTGAAACATTATCTAGCGGATAGTTTTGGTGCAAACAAAGATCTAAAGCTAAAGTACTTTTCAAAGAGAAATGGTTTTGACACTAATTGAGAAGGCTTCACCCGGGTGTTGCTCCCCCTAGCTAGCAATTACGACTTGGTGGATAGAATGGCCGTGTGTGGTGAGGGGGTTGTAAACCACAGTGAAGTCTAACAAGTAGCCAAAACTACCTGACACGCTAAAACATAACACCAACTTGTGACCAAGTGCAACCGCAGAATGGAAATGCAGAATAGTGGCAAGTTCAATTTATCAACCCGGGGTCTAGATCTATTGCCTACTCCGTGACTACCTTTTATCTAGCGGGACTAAGTGTAGTGAGAGTGATTGCAAACAAAAGCAGTAAGAATGAGTCCCCCTAGCTCCTTAGTTAGGTCAAAGTAGTAATTTCCTTTGGTTGAATTATGGTTGATTAAACTGCGGAAGATCCAACAATAGCTTGGAATCTCTTAAGCTGACCGAGCCCTCTCAGACAGACTACCCGACAGACGGCTCGTCTTCACCAGGATAGAACGCTGAGGCAATTAACACAAAACTCTACTACTAAAATTGGATTCCAGTACAAAGCAGTGAATCAACTAACTCTCGTATAACAGTTTCACTATTACCGATTGAAGAGCTCTAACAACCTAATCCGATTCTATATATCTCAAGTTGCAGCAGAAATCAAGAAAAGTTGATCAGGCTTCAATTTACTCAATGAATCATGCATCAATCGATTATAATCACACATTATATCAATCCAAAAGTCATTACAATCAATATCCCTAACACATGGAACTAGGGTTCTTCATACCCAAGTGAGAGAGAGTTCTACTCCATAGAGAGAGAGAGAGAGAGAGAGAGAGGAAAACAGAATATAAAGCAGTCAAACTCATCATGATGGGAAGAATCTGCTTTGGGATGATAATCTTCACTCCAAGGATGAAATCCAAGTTTGATTGATGAAACCTAGCTCCAAAATCACTACTAGGGTTTGTTCTTTGCACTTTCTCTCTCTAGGACTTTTTTTCTCTAGAAATTTGTCTCCCTCTTCAAAGACCCAAAATTGGGTTAATTACCCAGTTCTGCCAGATCACACAGCCTGGCCACACGACCGTGTGAAATTCCCAGCTTGCCCGTGTGACTTCCCAAACCGCCGCGTTTGATTTAGTAACTCAGGACGCGGTACACAGCCAGAACGACACGGTCGTGTGGAAATATGGCCAGCTCGTGTGAACTCCCTGGAAATCCCACACGGCCAAAAAGAGCCCTTACACGGCCAGTGTGGGGATTGCCCGCGTATAGGTGTTCCACACAGCCAAGTCACACGACCGTGTGGAATTTAGGTTAGGCTGCATGGCTTTGTCAGCTTTTCGTCAAACGTCCCAACTTTGTCCAATCGACCCCGAGCTCGTGCCCAAACCTTCCTTCACGTACTATGACTGAAAATATCACAAACCAGAAAACCCTAGCATGAAATTGGTTCAAAACACCAGAAATGAGACTCAAACCGTAAAAGAATGGTGGAAAAAAACATGTGTAGATATCGAGTCATCACTACCCTCTTAGTCTCTAGGTCAAGGATGAGATTATGATCCAAGCCACTAATGTGACTCTCTCAACCTATTGACTAAGGATTGGTTAGACTTCACCCTCGAATCGAAGTTCAGACGGCCACCCACAACCAAACCCTATGTGCTAATACAAAATAGGAGGTTTGCCCTGCATTAACCTAACTAGGAGGCAATGAATTACCCAAGAAAACCCATCATTCATGCCTCTTTCAAAGAAAGGAATGGGGTTTTCTCTCTACCTTGTTTAGAATGGCAATTAGATTGATAGGCTTTCACATAACACAATCATTCATGAATAATACCTCCACATTCACGGTCCTGGACGCTCCTTGGTTCACGGTTTGTGGTTTCAGTTCACGGTCTTGGAGATCGTGATCTCCAATGCCGACACGTGAACACAAGCTGATTCATCCTCTTTGCCCAGTCTTTGCTCCTTTTCTTCCAACTTTCGACTCCAGGGTTGGTTTCACCTGTTATATTCTGGAACACACTGAAACACAAGAAACCTAGCATAAAATCACCCCTATTGGAGCTCAATTGCCACAAACTTCAAAGAGAAACAGGGATAAAAAGTGTACAATAAAGCCCGAATCACTTCCCCACACTTAGACGTTTGCTTGTCCTCAAGCAACCCATTTCCCACAAGGTAATATCTAAACCTAACAAAATTCTTTAGGGAAAAATCAAAGGGCACAAGGTGGCAAATCTCAATGGCTATTGGCAGTTAACACATGGACCTTTGCAAGCAATACCGACATCCACCACAAACGACATTCGAGGTCACCAAAAATGGACAAATGAAAAGTTATCGCATTGTTCATGAATCAATGTGAGTCTCAACAAGATCACATACCTATTACAACTAACCATGCATAACATTCAAGTCCAAGGAACAAATGAATGGGCAAAAAAGGTACTCACTGGGGTATGATATGACATGCAAAACAAGAATGAATCACTCACTCTCTTGACCACTGGGGTCGGGAAATTTTTGGAGCAAAGAATGTGCACAATCTTCAACACTCGACCCTATCATCTTTTCACCACGGCGGCAACCTCTCAATGTTAGAGTTCATGGGACGGTTGTCATCACTAGCTTGGTCTTAGACACGGGTTCAAAAGACTGGCAATTGTCTCGGAGATGGGGAAAAGGCTTTTTGGGTGGTGGAAAACATAACATGAGGTCCTACATATTCACCCTAAACTCGAAGGTTCTATGGTTTCGACTATGAACCTTCACTACAAACAATGGCCATTAGCATCTGCCAAAAAACTTGCTTCTCCCTTCCAAACTATCACCCATCACGAACTTCCTTTAAGCGCTCTTCCTCGGTCTACTCTTGCTATCACATTTCGACTTGGTAGTGAAGGAGTTCTAAAACAATGTGGGGGGTTTCAGTGGCTTGAGTGACAAAAACCCCTCTTAGAGCATACTCTTTGATTCTTTTGTGGCACTCTCTACTTTATTCGCCCCGTTTTATTACCTCTTTTTCTACTCTTTTTCTTTCTACTTTCATTTTCTTTCTTTTTCTCTTTTCTTTTCTTTTTGAGGGGAGTACTAGAGAGTTAAAAACTTGCCACATTACCTTTAACAACCAATGCTCTCTTTTAAGAACTCACTCCAACACTACTCTTTTCTCTTTCACTCCTAGCAAGAACCGCACACAATCCTCCTATGTAGAACATAAATGGATGACTCATGTATAGACACAAATAAAGGATGGGGGTCGTTCTATCAACCACCATTAAGCTCACAAGCAAAAAGCTCCTACAAGAGAATGACCCCCAAAGTCACAAGGCTCAAAGGTGTTGACTAGGGGATAAAACATTTTGGGACAATCAACATTTGGGCGTGGAATAATCCTATGCCTCCATCATACTCACTAGTGACAACTGTGATGTTACTCGCCATGGTAAGAGGGATCTAAGCACACAAGAAGAAAACGATTGGCTCAAAACTCACAAGGCTACCTAGTCACCCAATCATCCATTCCAATTTCACAAAACACAATGCATGGCAATTGTAATCAACAAGTAATCGAGTCAAGACATTCATTCATTTTTGCACACATGAGAACTAAACCTTTGCACTATCCTAATGCACCTCTTAGTCATCATCATAGGACACACTCGATCACATGCAACAATTCAAGGTTAATGCCAATAAAAACGAGATTCTCCTACAAACCGGCCACTTTGATCAAGCAAACATTGCTTAGAGCCCTCAAAATTTTCAAATTTGTGCATACATCAAGGCTCCAAGCATCAATCACATTCTCACAAGCATAACAATAAAGTACCCCCCCCCCCCCCCACACACTCACTTAAGTTTGACATTGCCCTCAATGGCGTGAGATAGGGGTAGAATACCGCTTTGCTTGGTGAGTGAAAGTTGGAATTTTTTCGGGGTAGGAGATTTGAGCTTCAAGGAGAAGACAAAAATACACTAATAGCACCGCATTTGCACATGTTTTCCCCTTCATTTCTTGATCGTTTAGCTTAGCAATTGATCGTTCCTTGGCCTATTTTATGCTAGGTTGTGTTCTTTTGTCATATTTCAGGTCCTAGTACATAGATATGGCTTGGGGACGAGTTTCAGGACATTTGGAGGTGAAAGAAGGTCGATCGCAAAAACCGAGCATCAGGGCTGCCGAGAAACACGCCCTCTATGGTGAAAAACACGGCCTTGTGTCAGAGGCTGGGTTTTTCCCTCTGCACATTGCATAATCGTCATTTCAAAACACGACCTCTATGGATTAAAACACGGCCGGGTTTTTAAGGGCAAAGGCCGTGTTTTTACAACTGTGAGGGTTTTATTGAAGAGGAGCTCATATTTTGAAGTGGACGACTTTTGGAGCAAAAAACAGAGTTCTAGAGAGAGAAAGTGCAAAGAACAAAACCCTAGGAGCTATTTGGAGTGGATTTCTCACCATTGAAGCCCAAATTGCATCCCCAGGAGTGAAGATTGATATCTCAGAGCAGATTATTCTCATCTTTATGAGTATGACTGCTTTGAATTTTGTTTTCCTCTCTCTTTATGGAGTAGACCTTTCTCTTACTTGGGTATGAAGAACCCTAGTTCAATGTGTTAGGGATTTGAGTTGTAATAACTTTTGGATTGATATACTGTTTGATTATAATCAATTGAAGTGTGTTTATTGAGTCAATTGAATCCTGATCGTCTTCTTTTGATTTCTGCTGCAGCTTGAGCTAGATAGAATCTGATTAGGTTGTTAGAGCTTTTTCAATTGATAGGAGTGGATTGATTATAAGAGAGTTGGTTAATCCATTGCTTTGTACTGGAATCCAATTCTAGTAGTGGAGTTTTGTGTTAACTGCCTTGACTTTCTATCCCGGTGAAGACTAGTCGTCTGCCGGTTAGTCTGTCTAAGAGGGATTGGTTAGTTTAAGAGATTCCAAGCTACTGTCGGAACTTCCGTAGTTTAATCAACAGTAAATCAATCTAAGGAAGTTACAACTTGGACCTAATTAAGAAGCTAGGCGAACTCATTCTCGAGTGACTCTTCTCTTGCTTCAGGAAACCAGACAATTTACTGCTTTCTTTCTACTTTACTTTGAACTCACCTACATTCACTTAGTTCTGCTAGATAATAGATAATCAAGGAGTAGGCAGTACATCTAGGCCCTTGATTAACATTTATTACTTGATTCCACTATACTGCATTTCCATTCTGCGATTACACTTGGTCGCAGTTTGGAGTTGTGTTTTAGCGTTTCGCACACACAAACACGATGCATACTCGGTCGAGGCCAGGTTATTACACAAAACAATACAATGGTAGTAGTTGTTAAACTTGCTAACAAATCCTTGCGGGATTGGTCTACGGTCTTTTCTAGTATCCTTTTCAGTTTCCTATTTGACAACTCTACTTGTCCACTTTTTTGGGGATGATAGGCCATTGACACCGGGTGGGTAACACCATAGTGATCGAGGAGTCTGTCGAATTGACCCTAAAAATGGGTTCCTCGATCACTGATGATGGCCCTCAGGATCCCAAATCGTGAAAACAGTTTTTTTTTAAAATCCGCAGGCCCTTCTTGCATCATTGTTGGGGAGAGCTTGAGCCTCGACCCACCTCGAGACGTAGTCCACATCCACTAGAATGTACTTGTTTCCAAAAGATGAGGGAAAAGGGCCCATAAAGTCGATTCCCCAAACATAAAAATCTCACATGTTTTGAAAATTGTTTGGGGCATCTCATTTTGGTTATACACATTACCTATCCTTCGGCAACTGTCACAATGACTCACCAATTTGTAGGCATCCCTCAATAGGGAAACCAATAGAATTCCTTGCAGTTCGGTTGCCCCAAGATTGTGGCAGTGGCTTAGAATAGCCGTCATTTCCTTCTTCGAGAAACACCTCTAAATGACACCATCGGCTCCAATCCGACAAAAGGTGGGGATCATCACAGAAGTAGTATCCGATCGCATAAGAACTTCTTTTTCCCATTTGTATTCATTCCCTTGGGCAGTTGCCTTCCAACCAAGTAATTGGCAAAGTCGGCGAAACAAGGTGCGACAATCTCAACAGTGGCAAGCGCGAACAACCGTTCATCGGGGAAAGTGTCATTTATCTCTCTTTGGGAGGTGCTCCCTCCCGGTCTTCAAGTCACGAGAGATGACCGTCACAAGATTTTCGGCTCCTTTTTTATCTTTGATCTCCACATCAAAATCTTGAAGAACTAGGATCAATCGTATTAGGCGGGGCTTGGCATCTACCTTGTTCATCAAGAAGAGAATGGCGGAGTGGTCAGTGTAGACAATAACCTTGGAAAGCACAAGGTAAGACCTGAACTTGTCAAAAGCAAAGATTACTGCCAACAACTCTTTTTAGGTAGTTGTATAATTCTCCTGAGCATCATTAAATGTCTTGGAAGCGTAGAAAATGGGTTGAAAATGCCTACCCCTCATTTCTCCCAACACCGCTCCCACTGCATAGTCGCTAGCATCACACATAAGCTCGAAAGGAAGGCTCCAATCAGGTGAGACCATTATGGGAGCATTCGTGAGCTTCGTCTTGAGGATGTTAAACACTTCAAAACATTCCTTTCTGAAAAGGAAGGGAGCATCCTTCTCCAAATGCTATGTCAGTGGTAATGCAATCTTTGAGAAGTTCTTAATGAAGTGTTGGTAAAATCCTGCATGCCCAAGAAAATCCTGATGCCCTTAACCGTTGTTGGTGGAGGAAGCTTGCTTATTGTTTCAACCTTATCTTCATCCACTTCAATTCCCCTCTATGAAATTTTGTGCCCCAACACAATGCCCTCTCTCACCATGAAATGTGACTTCTCCCAACTCAAAGCTAAATTGGTCTCTTCGCAACGCTCAAGGACCTTCTCCAGGTTGGCACGACAGTGAGAGAATAAATCTCTGAACACTGAGAAGTCGTCCATGAACACTTCCATTATCTCCCCCCACGAGTTTATCTAAAATGGCCACCATGCATCTCTGGAATGTGGCTGGGGCATTGCACAATCCCAATGGAATGCGCCTATAAGCAAATGTCTCGAAAGGCCAGGTGAACGTTGTCTTGGCTTGATCTTTTGGGGCGATTTGGATCTGGAAGTACCTCGATATCCCATCCATGAAACATTAATAATCATTCCCAACAAGTCTCTCCAGAATCTGATCGATGAAGGGCAAACGGAAATGATCTTTACAATTGGCCTTGTTTAATTGTCGATAATCAATGCACACCCTCCACCCGATCACCGTTCTTTTTGTTATAAGAACTTTCTTCTCATTGGCTACCACCGGCATTCCTCCTTTCTTGGGGACCAACTGTGTTGGGGTCACCCAATGATTTTCTGTGATGGGATAGATGATCCCGGCATACAAAAGCTTGATTACTTCCGCCTTCATTACTTCCTCCAGGTTAGAATTCACACGCCTTTGCGGTTGACAAACCGGCTTGGCACCTTCCTCCAAGAGGATCTTGTATGAGAAAAAGGTTGGTCCGATCCCTCGGATATCTGTGATCTTCCATGCGATTGCCCTCTCGTGACGACGCAATATCTCAATCAACTCAGTCTTTTGCTCCGGTGTAAGATTGGAGTTGATAATGACTGAGAGCTTGCCATCGTCCCCAGGAAGGCATTCTCAAGATGGAGAGGTAAATGCTTCAACTCCAACTCGGGTGGTTCCTCCAAGGAGGTAGGGATTTTAGGCATTGCGGTCAAGGCTTCCACCACCAGATCTTTTAAAAGTTGGCCTTCCTCCTCTGGAGATTCCGCAATGTTCGTCCCTACTAAACAACATTCTTCAGAAGGGTCAGTAGAGTGGGCACCGCAGATACGAGTGCCTTCATGAAATCAAAAACCTCATCACAATAATCAATATCATCATGATGGTGAGAAAACTTCATGCTCTCATCAATAGAGAATATAACCTCTCCCTCCCCTGTCCTAAGCACTAATTTTCCCTATGCACATCAATCAAGGCCTTGGCGGTAGCTAAGAAGGGCCTACCCAGGATGAGGGGGGACATCAACGTTGTCATCAATGTATAGAATGACGAAATCGACCGGGTAAATGAGAGGCCCTACTTTAATAAGTAAGTCCTAAACAATACCCTTAGGTTGCACGATGGACCTATCCGCCAACTGAATATTCATCCTGGTAGTTCAAGATTCACCTAGGTCTGACTTTTGAAACTACCGATAAGGCATCACATTTATACTTGCTCCTAGGTCCGCCAAGGATTTTCCTATGCACATGTTCCCAATAAAACAAGGGATAGTGAAACTCTCTGGATCTTTGCGCTTTGTGGGCAGATGGTTCTGCAGGATGACCGAGCACTCTTCATTCAAGGTCACTGTAGCCATCCATTCAAGCTTCTTCTTGTTGGCGAGGAGGTCCTTAAAATACTTTGCGTACTTGGGCATCTGGGTGAGCTGGTTCATCAAATCCATAAAGTGGGATAGTGAGGTGTAGCTGGTTCATCAACTCCATGAAGTGGGAAAACTCCGATGCCATGCAGTCATTGCGGAGTCGAAAAGGATAGGGAATAGCTGGAGTTGCTTTTTTCTTCCTCTGCTCCGGTGAAGGAGTCGAATCGACCCTCTCCCCTCCGTTTGCACTCGTTCCCCTTGTTGTTCTGGGAAACTACCGACCCCATCTTGCTTTTCTGTCTTGAAAGGCTTCTTCTTCGGAGGCATCTCCTTGGCTTCTCTCCTACTTTGAAGAGTAACCGCCCTTACTCCCGCTTCATCGAATTGCTTCTGGGAAAGAGGTGCTTGCGAGATAATCCTCATACTTGTGGTCAAGGTTGTTAGGAGTGATTGGTGACTTTGCAACCCCGCCTCTATAGTTGAGAATTTCTCTGTCACCTCCCTTATGAACCCCTCAATTTTTTTCAAACTTCTTATAATTGGATTCGACAAAAGTGGTCACAAACTCCTCCAAACAAGACATATGATCGGTGTGCACAGGGGAGATAGAGTTCAACTACTCGTAATGGGTTGTTTCCTCGTTCATCATTTGGCACTCGGCTTCCTCATAGCCCAAGCTTTCACCCCAATCATATGGTACCAACGGTTCCTTCCCTTGCTTCTTGCCCTCAAGAATCACCTCGATCAACTTGCCAAGCTTTGCTTTAAGTGGAGAACTTGCTCCCACACTTCACACTCGTCTTTCGGTGCTTCTCTTCCCGCTTCTTTTCAAGCCCCAATCATATCCCTTGAGAGCCATATCTTCGAGAAACTTGGTTACTTGAGGTGGAATCATGTTCATCAACTTTCCTTGGCAAAGAGAGTCGATGAGGATCTTATCATCTTGAATGAGTCCTCCATAGAAAGTCTCTATCCAAAATTGCTCCTCGAATACATGGTGAGGGCATTGAAAAAAGTAGTCGGAAAATCTTTCCCATGCATCCCTCAATATCTCATCTTCCTCTTGCTCAAAGTTAGTGATCTTCTTTCTCCACTCGGCTGTCTTGGAAGGAGGACAATATCGGGTCATGAACATGTTGAGTAAATCGTCCAAAGAGGTGATGGATAGAGTCGGATGGTTGTTGAGCCATCAGAGTGCCTTCCCGGCAAAAGAATAGGGGGATAGCCTCAATCGCAATGCCCATGAAAGTAGCCGCCATTTATCTTCAAGCTTCCCGCTAGCTCAAGAAACCTTTGGACATGCTTTCGTGGTGATTCATTGGCAAGCCCATGAAAGTAGGCTTTGTTTTGAATCATCGTCACAAGAGCGGGCTTGATTTTAAAGTTGTTGGTGGCCACGGGGGGATGTAAGATGGGAGATTGGATATCCGCCGCCCGTGGAGCCATGTAATAACCCATTGTCCTTGGATCCTCCTCGGCTCCCGCTTCCACATTTGGGTTTTGAAGCGGATTAGCCCATCAGTGTTGTCCCCCGCCATCTCAACTTTAACTTTTCCTTCAATTCCTTTAAATCCGGGACCAACTTGATGTCCCCTTTCTTCACTTCTCCTTCTTGCCTCCATTAGCTCCCTCTCTCGAGCTAAAAGTCGGAGAGTCCAGTTGATGTCCTCGTCCAGTGGTGTTAAAGGTGTCAGATTGCTCTAGGTCATGCACCTCCCTATACACACTTAAAGAACACAACACATCTAGCGCAAGCAAACTTCACACTTAACAAAACTGACAATAAAACCTAGATTAACACCAAACAATCTTTTCACAATAACGGACCGAAGTTCCCCGATAACGGTGCCAAAAACTTGACTCGCTCTTACTATCACAATAAAATCCCACCTAAGGTCCAAGTATAAACCTTAGATGGGTGCAATATAGGGAAAGTATGTTTAAATATAAATCCGGGCCGGCCCATGTACCGCTACTTTGATTGTTTGAAACATTATATAGCAGATAGTTTTGGTGAAAACAAAGATCTAAAGCTAAAGTAATTTGCAAAGAGAAATGGTTTTGACACTAATTGAGAAGGCTTCACCCGGGTATTGCCCCCCCTAGCTAGTAATTACGACTTGATGGATCGAATGGCCGTGTGTGGTGCGGGGTTGTAAACTCTAGGTGCTAATACGAAATAGGAGGTTTTTCCTGTATTAACCTAACTAGGAGGCAATGAATTACCCAAGAAAACCCAATGTTCAAGCCTCTTTGATAAGCTTTCACACAACACAATCATTCATGAATAATACCTCCACATTCGCATTAAACACAACCACACACAAATCATTCAATTCATACAAGCATTCACATAGTTGTAGCTAGGGTTTACAAACACCCAAGTGAAAGAAGGGACTACTCCATGCTAGGAGAAGGGAAAACACAAGATAGAAAAAGGGAAACCATCAAAGAAATGCTAGCCTTGCTCCTTGCGTTGAAGAGATCCTCCTTTGGGGAGGAATTCCCAAATTCCTTGCTTGGAGATGAAACCCTATCTTCTCCTCTTCATTGGTTCGTCACTTTCTCACTCTAAATATCTGAATAAGAAGAAGAAGAAGTTTCTCACCCCAGGTCTCCCCCTTCTTCTTTCTTTTAGCTCGCTTTTTATACTAAGATCATGCCCAGTTCACGGCCCAAGTTCACTGTCGTGAACATCAAAACACGTCCTTGAACATAGAGAGCTGAACCAAAATGCACCGCTTCAATTCTTGGGTTTACAGGTTTTGGTTTCAGTTCACGGTCTTGGCGACCGTGAACAGCCTTGGTGTTAGCAACCCAGACACCCCTATGGACGCTTCTTTGTTCACGGTTTGTGGTTCCAGTTTATGGTCCTGGCGACCGCGAACTCCAATTTCGGAATGTTAACATAGGCTGATTCCTCCTCTTGGCCCAGTCTTTGCTCCTTTTCTTCCAACTTACGACTCCGGGGTCGGTTTCACCTGTTAGATATGCAACACACTAAAACACAAGAAACCTAGCGTAAAACCACCCCTTTTGAAGCTCAATTTCCACAAAAGTCAAAGAGAAACGGGGATAAAAAGTGCACAATTTGGCCCTAATCACTCACCGAGAGACCAAGGGGATCCCTACCCTCTCAAACTATTGTCAACCACAAAGATCGAAATGCCGAATGCAATGCTATTCTTTTGAGGTGTGGGAAAGGGACCCCGGAAGTTGTTGCTAAGGAAGTGACCGAAGAAGAGAAGAATCCTCCAACAGCCAATGATCAAGAAGGCTCGGAAAGGGTGGAAGAAGAGACCAAGAAGGCATTGTCGAAGACAACACAAATGGCTGAGTACAAGACTCCTCTTCCTTTCGCCACGAGGATGCACAAGGACTGATTGGAGGTAGAATGTGGCGGCTTCATGGAGATGCTCATGAAGCTCCGCATCACAAGTTTCCCAAGAAGCAACAAGATCCAGGTAATTTCACTATACTTGCACGCATCGGAACACAACATATAGAAAACTCCTTGGCGAACTTAGGAGCAAGCATAAATTTGATGCCTTACAAGCTGTTTAGGAAGTTGCATCCAGATGAGCTAAAGACTACTAGGCTTAGTGTCACATTTGCCGACCGCTCTGTCATTATTCCTAGAGGTATTGTAGAGGACTTCCTAGTGAGAGCTGGCAAATTCTACTATCCCACGGATTTTGTTATCCTTGATATCAGTGAAGACGCGGATATGCCACTCATTCTAGGACGCCCCTTGCTTGCCACCGCCAAGGCCTTAATCGATGTTAATGAGGGAATTTTGATTTTGAGAGATGGAGAGGAGCAACTTACTCTCTTTATTGATCCTAAGGCCAAGAATGATGATGTGAAGGAAATGGATAAGAATGGTATGATTGGAAGTGGAGGTGAGCCTCTCAAGGCAAACCCCACTATTACTTGTATTCCGTGTGGTGATGTGAAGCAGGAAATTGAGGGTATCAAACCCGAAGGAAGGAAAAAGAAAGCGTGGAGAGAAAAGATGAATCGAGTTTATACCCAAAAGAAGGATAAGGGTAAAGCAAAGACAGTTGGCCAAGAGGGCCATCCTTTGGAGCTTAAGTTGGGAGGTGACAAACATCGCTATGAGACCTTGGCGGATCCATTCTCGGAGGCTTTGTGCTCTCAAGCATGATAGATCCGTAACGCCAAGCTAGTGACGTTAACTTAGCGCTTGTTCGAAGGCAACCCAAAGTCGATTTGTTTTCTTTTCCTTATTTCCTCTTTTTGTTATTGAGTGAAGAGTTCAAGTGGATGAATGGTTATCATCGTGTCAGCATGTTGTGTCTGATTGATTGGATATTGAGTGTGTTTGAATTAGGGGCACTGTTGATTAGGTCGAGTTTTGAAATTTTGGAAATACCTTGTTTTCACTCAGTTCACAGTTTTAGCCTCATTATCACGGTCTTAGCAACCGTGATAATCAGGTGAAGACCGTGAACAAGGGCAGTTCCAGAAATTTTTTATACACACTGTTTTGCTCCAAGATCATGGTGTGGGAGTTATGGTCACGGTCTTAGAGACCATGAAGGGATCCTGGTCACGCCGGCGAGTTCCGATCACCCAAATAAAAATCCAAGCACATATCCAGTATCCCCATGCTCGGGCTCACCTTCGCCAATGTTTTGAGGCGATTTGGCTTGAATTTATTCAAGGGTGGGCAATTTTCGGTGAGACTCTAGAGAGCTCCACCGAGCTATTTTTCGGCTGATTTTCAACACCCTTGCACTCTCATCACCTCTCTCTTTGACCCTACTTGCGCCTCCTGGTCTGTCTCAAACCTTTTCTTTGTTGTTTTTGGAGAATCGGGTTAGAGTTCTTATGTGAGGATAATTTGGGAAACTTTGCATGCATGATGAAATTGGGCGAGGGGAATGTCGAATTAGGTTGATTGAATGTTGCATGAAGTGTTTGTTAAGTTAATTGAGCCTTGGTGGGAAAAAATTGTGCATGATTTTGTGGTTTGAATTGAGAATTCTCACCAAGTGCAGTTTAAGACAAAAAATGACTTGCTCCACTTGTGGGAATGATGGTTGGCAGCCATCGAGGCATGGTTTGGGTTCAATATCTTTATTTGGAAGAATCATGAATTACCTAAAACCATGTCTTGATGAGCTTTTTACTTGGTTGAGCTTAAATTGTTTGTAATCCAATATTGTGAAAAGCCTTCAAAGGCATAGGAGGTTGATGCGAGTCATGAGTACATTCACCACCTGGTGAACCACAAGAAGTACGACAACATGTTCGAGCAACGGAGGTACAACGAGGTTGGACCCCACTAGGTGTTGGACCTGGAGATGTTCACCAGGTTCAGGTGTAGATCATATCCCATTTCCTCAACCTAGAGACTAAGAGGGTAGCCTTGGCTACTTTTTAGACTTCCATGCAGTTTATAACCCACTAACCACACACGGTCATTCGATTCTTCAAGTCGTAATTTTTAGCTAGGGGGAGCAACACCCGGGTGAAGCCTTCCCAATTATTGTCAAATCCATTTACCTTGCAAAGTAATTTAGCTTTAGACCTTTGTTTTCACCAAAACACATTCGCTGGATAATGTTTCAAATAGTCTAAGTAGTGGTACATGGGCCGGCCCGAGTCGATATTTAAACATACTTGTCCTATATTGCACCCATCTAAGGATTATAGTTGGGCCTTATGTGGGATTTTATTGTGATAGTCAAAGCGAGTCAGACATCCTTACATGAGGAAGGGATTTAGCGAGAGGGTAGTAAAAGGAAGGCGAGTAGCATGCCTAAGAGAGGTGGCCAACTGGTACCTATAATTTTGGAGGTACTTAGAGCAGACTGGCTCGGTCCGGCCTGGTTAGGCGTCCGGCAACAGGGGTCCCTGCAACCAGTGTGGGCGGGACCATTTAGGGGCATATAGGTAGTCCCCCAGGGTTTGCTACTATTGCAGTGAGCCGGGCCATTTTGCTACAGTGTGCCCTAGGAAAGGAGAACAAGAGATAGCTCAGTCCGAGCAATCCGTCTGGGGTGGAGGAGGAAGAACTTGAACCGGACAACACTTCGGGAACCAACCCAATGGATCCTACAACAACTATGGAGGACGTTTCAATGGCGAGAACACCTGCCATACCAGTCGTGACCAAGGCCAAATGTCTAGAGCTGGGAGGAAACCTCAAGTATTTGCCATAAGAGGGATAAAGAGTGACCATGGAGACGATGAAGAGAATGAACAAACTCAGTGATGTGGTTATGTGGCACATGGGAGACTATGAGGAATAAATATATGCTTTTAGAATGAATCGCTAGTTGGTTGTTTTCGTTATAACTGCACTTTCCGTTTTCGTACTCGGTAATTCAATAATAGTCCCTGCGCTTTCAGTTGTCGAAATTTCTTAAGGAGGAGGGAAATGTAATATCCCAGCTGGCTATCTTCCTTCAAATACAACGTTACATCGTACAAGTGATTGCGCTACGGTTCAAATTTCGGGGACGAAATTTTTATAAGAGTAGAGGAAATGCAACACCCCCGATATTTCTATTCGGGTTCGACCATCAGGAAAGAACCTTTGAATCAACTGTTCCATACGAATGGGTGCAACCATGATTTAATTATAATATAAATAATAATATCTTTATTATTATCATCATCCCCATGTTACAAAAAATATTATATTAAACAAACTAAATAAACAAAGGACCACAAAACTCACCTCCCATTAAACCCCTCTCACCTACGTTACCCCATTCCAGCTCTCCCTCGGCCTCTCTAGTTCCCTTTCGTTACCATCATTCTTCCTTTCTTTTATTGCCCACGTAACCGTAGCAGCATCGCCATTCCACTCCTCGTCATTAACATCTACCTCCTCTTTCCCTGGATAGAAACTCGACCTCCCTACTCATCGAAAGCCAACCACTGATGCGGGAGCAGCAGGCGGCGTCGTGACCTTCTTCCACGCGGAACGCCCACGACAGGAAGGCAGATCAGGTTAGCATAGAGACCCTTGACCACATCGTCTTCTCCTGACATTGAGGGGTAAGGTTCTCCGTCTCGTCGATTCTTAAGCTCATTTTAGGCCTCGACTAACCCGACGAACCATGTGGTGAAGGTAGCTTCGACGGCGAATCCGACGTACTCGACCTCAATAAAAATTCAAAACCTTGCTACCATCTCAGGAGCACCCCGGTTTTGACGGAATCGAATTTCGACGTCAAACGAGTAAGATACTAGCCTCGAAAGCTTGGGACCTAAATTGAATAGTTCAGGTACCAAATCTGTCTATTCGAAAAATATATGAACCTGGACAGTAATTTCATTTCAGTATGTGTAAAATTGTACTTGTTGGTCCCCATATTTTCAGTGCGAGCAGCTTAGTCCCTAATATTTTTAGAAGTTAACAATGGGTCGGAAATAGTATTTTCTCAATATTGTTATTATTATTTGTATTTTCATGATTTACTAATTTTATAAATAATAGAATATTTTTTGAATGTATGGATATAAATTATAGAATTTTTGGAAATTTATTTCTAAATTTAAAAATAGGTATAAAGACGTTTTTATGTAAATAAAATAGTATACGAGAGATCTTGTTAGTTAAAATAATTGTTAACGAAATAAAATTAATATATCTTCATTCATAAATTATCTGGTGATTTTTATAAATGATTTGATAATTACTAAAATTAATATTATATTTGTTTTAATTGATTTAATTACTGTATGTATATCTTTTAGTAATTTGTTAATATTGTGCTAGACTAGAATATTGCATTTAGGTAAGAAAATTGAGAACTAGAATTTTAGACTTGTGTAGCATAGGATGAAAAATTGGTTATGTTAAATTGAATGAGGAAAAGGGGGCTAATTATTGTGTAAATTATAGTTAGTTATTTTGGTTTATGTTTGGAAAATTTATGTGAATTTTTATGAGATTTATGAATAGGGTTATCTAATTAGTTAAGATGAGTTAAGCCCTAAAATTGTTTGGTAATATTTTAGTTTGAGGAAAGGTCATTTGAAAGAGTTTAAGACCTTTTTAAAGAATATTGTGACTAAGCTAGGAGGATGGAAAATTTTTTGAAATGCTGATTAAGGAAAATTAATCTCGATTTATAGGATTAACGAGGCGATCGAGTTAAGGAACTCCACGTCAAAAGAAGTAAAGTATCAACACTTAAGAGATGAGTGTGAATGGGGTAAAATCCCCATCGAGGTCTCTTAGTTTATCATTAATTTCAAGTTATACTAGCTACTTCATGAGTTTGAGCGAATATGTGTGTGTGGCATCCCACCGCCTACTTAAGGTGGAGGCACGCGTTGTACTATGTTTGTGATGTATATTTGTACGTAAGATGAACCCCTGGGCGTTGGGCCACTACTGGACGCAGTAGATAGTAGGATCACTGCTGGATGACGATATGTAATGCAACAATTGATCGAGGATACTGGGTCACTACTGGACGGCGAGACGTAACGCAGTAATTGATCGGACATGGTACTGGATGGCGACACGTAACGCAGACCATTGCCGAGTTGGGTATGCAACCGGAAGGCGAGACGTAACGCGGTTGGCATACGAAGGTAGGGACACCGGACAGCGAGACGTAACGTGATGATTCCCTAGTGATGTGTGTTTGTGTTAAGGATAGAAGTAAATAACTTCTATAAGATAAGGATAGGAGTAAAGTTCTTCTATTGGTTGCGTTGGAATAAGGTTTTAAGGATGAAAGCGAGAACGACTTTCATGTAAGGAAAGAATATTCTTAAAGAGGTGGAAGCGAGTACGGCTTTCACTTAAGAGGCGGAAATTTCTAATAACGTGTTAGTAAGGAATTACTTAATTCACAGACCTTAGGAAGTAACGACGAGACCCCTTCTTACTCACAGGTGTAGAGAGGGGAAGAGATCGTACGCACCACAAGGTAGTTGTCCGAGGAGAGCTGTCGCAACAGGCTTGAAGATGTCAGAAGGCTCATGATAACAAAATGGGACTCATTTATCCTATTTGTCTTTATTTCGTGTCTTATGAGTATATTGGGAAACTCAAGGTTTATGTATAAGTGTTTTGGATTGAGATTTATGGTTATTATCATTTGTTGATTTTTTTGTCTTTAAAACGTGGTTTCGGTTGCTTCGAAGTAACCGGTTTTTGGTTTGAATTATTGTTTGGGTTTTGAAGAGAATCGGGTTGTTTCAGTTTGAGACTCTATTCTCGTGTTTTAAACTTATTTCACGCTAGGTTGTTCTAGCAGTGAGGTATTTCGTGTCTAATAGCTGCGATGCAGGCATGGGAGCGAGTTTCGGGTCAAATGCACTAAGGGGATGAAAGGAGGAGTTCAAGGACCAAATTCCTGGTGAGTCATCAAACACCCGACCGCGGAAATGCCATCATAGGCCGGGGGAGTCGTCTAGGGATTTTATCTTGTCTGGACCCCGTAATCCTCGACGCTTGAATTAAACCTAAGACCGGGTTTTTGTCTGCTTCGACAACTTACCGCTGCGCGTCGTTTAGGTAAAACCCGGCCTTCCCTTAAAATACCGACCACGTAATCAGGCTGGGCGCTAAAAATCGGGCTATTAAGAGCCAAACACGGGTTTTGACAAAGGATCCGAGTTTGAGAGCTGAAAACAGAGTTTTAGAGAGAGAAGTGACGATCCCATCTTCCAAGGTGACCCAGATCGAGTTTAGACACCAATGGAGCTCGATTTAAGCCTAGAGAAGCACCTATTAAAAACTAAAAGCTGAATTTGATCCTCCACACGATGATTTCTACATCGGAAGCTGATTTCCTCTCTCTCTCTCTATGGATTAAACTCCCTCTCTCACTTGGGTATTCAGACTGGGAGGGTTTGAAGACCTTTAGTCAAGACTTCATACTAAATAAGAACCTTCCGCAATATAACTATCATTATATCTAAACTTGGTGAATTACAATTCGGCTTAACTTGCAATCTAGGGGGAATCATATCCGGGTGACATCTCGTGAACTTGAATCACAACTTTACTGTTTTGTGTTTGCTAAGAGTAATAAGAACTTCATTACGTTGAAACTACTAAATAATGAGAACTTCACGGAGTAGTCATCACATCCTGGGTTGACAATTAAAGCTAAACCCGCTATACTACGCATTAGTTTGTGGCTACACTTGGCCACTTTCTAGTGTTACGGTATTGGCGAGTAAAGTTTTTGGCGCCGTTGCCGGGGACAGCTAGGTTGTTGAAGAAACATGATTTCTATTACTTTAGCATTTCCTTTCTGCATTGTTTTCTTGTATTTCTTTCACCCTTTTTGCCTTCACGTGTTTGCCTCCAAATTATGTGTAGGTAATGCATTACCCGTAGCTAGTCGGGAGGATTACTTTCATTGGATCAGGAATTTGAACGGACCTTTCGTCACTCTAATAAAGCAGTGCGAGCCAGACTAGCTATGAAGGAAGAGCAAGTTGACGGCCGGATAAGCTGCGATTCCGAGTAGGAGAACGGCATGGGAGACGAACAAAATCAGATGAACAACATGAACCTGGGGCAACCTTAACTGGGGATGCCTCTCCATGTTCCTCCCTTGATACAGGCTCCGCCTAACAATGGCAAGCCACAATCGGACCGGGCCAACCATCAGTTGCCTCCGCATCAGCTCTGTAACCCTCATCAGTGAGTTTCGATCAAATATCCCTTAATTTGGGTTTTTTTAAGGGTTAATACCACTAGGAAACCCGAACTATTAAGAATGTGTCATTTGTGTCCTAAAGTATCTAATATGACATTTGTGTCCCAACCTATTATAGTTTTGTGTCATTTATGTCATAACCCGAACTATTAAGCATGTACCATTTGTTAAATACTAACGATCAACGTCACTCAACTCTAAAGGAAAATAAGTTTAGGATACAAATGTCATATTAGATACTTTAGGACGCAAATGACACATTCTTAATAGTTCGGGTTTCCTAGTAGTATTATCCCTTTTTTTAACAAGCGAGCTTTACACGGCTGTTGTTGCGCGTAATATTAAACTGCAAGCTTAACTGAATATATTTGTTTGCCTTTTCCGTTATATTAAATTTTATGCTAAAGGAAATAACTTCAAAGCCTCTCCTATAATGACACATACATTTCTATGAAAATTACCCCATTTCTATGTGAGACACCCTATTTTGTAAAATAGAGTCATGTTCAGGGTATGCGAGGAATAGCATCGTGCAATAGAGTAAGGTAAAGTTGCATGGTTAAATTACAAAATAAGCAAGAAGGGATTTCTTATTAGGGATGAGCATCCATAATGGGTGTCATTTCGTTATATCATTGTGACATGGCAAAATTCCAGTTCCTATTTCATTGTTGTGGCTCCTATTTCATTCATGAAATACTTCATAAAGTTACGTAAAAGTAATTATATTAGTCATAAGGACTTCACTTGAGTTTAATGAGGCATTGGCCTTACAGGGCTAGGATGTGGACAATAGTAAAAATAAGGGTACAAGTTGTTTGGTTGTATGATGTGGAACGCAAACATAAAGTTGCATCTACTAAAAAGGCCCCTTGTATACCTTTCCAAGGATTGACATCGGTAATTAGCTTTACGTAGCGTGTAATTAAAAGACCCCCTTGTACAAGTAAATAAATATAAACGAGATCATCACCAATTAGAAACAATCCAAGCATCCGTCCATCTTTCGACATATCATTTAATTACAAAATAATAAGAATTCATCACTAATTAATATGTTTACAACAACAAAATCTAATCAACATATATTAATTTTCCAACACCAGCCGAAATGATCCAGAATCGTTTTAATGACAAATATTAGTTACACCTATTGCTTGGCCCATTAAGCCCATAAAAGAATCACAAATTGGATCCCAAATTATTGCATTACTCTAAGCCCAATCATTTGGTTAATTCACAAACACGATTTATGATGACTATCCATAGTTCGAATGAAATTATGTTTTCATCGTCTTCTTCCTTCGACAGAAACAAACCCTAAATATAACTAATCATCAAGCCATAGATTGACCTTCAACAAGAAGCTTCATGTGAATACTAAATAAATTAAAGGACAAGACAACAGACTTGCAGGGTGGTTTATATGAAATGTTGTGTACGTTAATAAACATGTGATATGCCTTATAGGACTTACGGTGAGATTTACGGAAATTCTATCCATTGTCAACAGTGGTTGAAATTATCCATAATTGTTTCAATAACAAATACATCTTGCACACCTATTCCTTGGCCATTTAGCCAATGTGAGAATTCATAATTGGATCTGGAATTAGTGCATTACTTTAAGCCCAATCGCTCGCGTTATTTCGCAAACACGTTTTATCCTAACTATCCACTCACAGTTCGATTAAAATTCTATCTTCATCATATTCTTTCTTCGGCCGAAACAAACCCTAAATATCACTGGTAATAAATCCATATACTAGAAGCTTAATGGCAAAACTAAAATAATATAACGACAATACAAGAACCTTGTGGTGTGCTTTAATCCACTTGTGTTGTGCTTTAATCCACCTTGTGACGTGCTTTAAGAAACTTGTGAAAATTTTATGTCAGTGGTGGATATCATATTGCACTATTCTAAACCCAATAAGGAGGTTTATTTCACCAACACAAGTTAAGATAACTATACACCCATAATTCGATTAAAATTCCATCTTCGTCGTCTTCTTCCTTCGGCCGAAACAATCTCAGAATAGAATACACATATCTGGAACAAGAATAGAAAAACTAAATAAATAAAGGGGCAAGACAATAAACGTGTGGCGTGCTTTTATAAACATGTGGTTTGCTCTACGTTACTTGTGGTGTACGTTATTGGTCATGTGGTGTGCTTTAACAAACTTATGGCGTACATTTCTAAACTTGTGGTCTGCTTTGTGCCATCGTGTAATAGAGAGAGGTGACTGGTGTACCATGCCACTCCATTTGGGCCAAGTGATTTGGTTGTAGATGGTGAATGATTGTTTGAATGGAAGGACGAAAGAAGACGAGTGTGTGCATCATAATTTCTTGTATCGAATTCAACGGAGAACGAGTGATGTGAATCCAAAGTTCTCGACTGGAATTGGAATCGATTTTCGGAATGGAGGAGGCCGTGAGAGATGGGAGATATAAACAGAGAGAGAGAGAGAGAGAGAGAGAGAAAGAGCACGAGAACGCGGGATGGTGGAAGGGCTGGCGGTACAAGATGAGGAGAAATGGGTTGGGTGGTTTGTAACTGAGGGTTGCGTAGTCTAGCGAAAACATGACTTTGCTGGTGCAGGACGCGGGAGCGCGGGACGCCAGCGGCGACCAGGAGCTCAGGTGGCTGCTCTGGAGGAGGGACCTCTGGATTGGTCTCCAAGAGATGGGTCAACTGTCAGCCTCATAGCTTCTAAGGGTCAAAGTCCGTCGAGGTACTCGACCCCTGGCTCTCCTTGAAGCACCAGCTTCATGTTGTAGAGAGTCTCCGATGGGAAGGCCTCAGTCCGGCCAACTATGGAGGCCCTCTTCACGTCCACGTCGAAGTACTGGGCCAGTCTCGTGATGATTCCCCCCCCCCCCCCCATATGCATTGTGTCCACCTTGTTCCACCCCAGAAACTGGGCGAAAGTTGTGGCAACCAACAATCCCAGATGGAGCGGCTCGACGGGATGCCTCATAGAATGGAGGGCAATCAATCCTCTGTTAGTGATCAGATGGCCCGCTCACAAACTAGGGACGACGGAAGAAGCCCTTTACAGCTATGTGCTTGGTACCGGGAAGTTCATTTTTATCTAGAAGAGTAGATAGTGGAATGCTATTTCGAGAGATTGGGTGAGAAGAGTGTGCATGATCCTCCACGGGGTCCGCAGCTTCACTGCATTGATGTGGCCAAACTAGAACTCATCTTGCTCATGCTCGGGCGTCAGATGGCCTGGAACGCATCCTAATAATGGAAGTCGGCAGTGTACTGCCACTCCTTCATCGTCATGTATGTGGAGTTCAACCCCATGGCCTGGGCGAAGGCGTCGTATGTCAGCACCCATAGCTAACCTTCAAGCATGAACTCCACGTGGGGCCGACTTCTCTTGCTCATCGGGACTACGTCGGAGAAGGTGGAATAGGACTTCACGCAGAGCTCTCGGTATATGGGCTCATCCATCGTCAGCAACTGGCGCCACTAGGGATGACAAGCAACCACCGACATCGCGGCTCGACACCTGAACATGTTAAACATGTCCAGGTCTAGAATCTAGTGCGGTCCAACCAGACTATTCATCTGATAAGCAAACTTCACCCCTAACCGCTCGTGGTTCAACAAATATTGGATGTACTCACGATCCAAATAAAGCATACTGCAAAAGAGACAAACATGCACCATACATGGAAGCAATTGTCAATCTCAACTCATTGGAAGGAAAAATGAATTCCCCCACATTTATATTTTCACTACGGGTCCATGCCATTTAGAACAATTACGCTCAAGCACACCGAGGCATGGTTCTAGGTGTTCCACTTATTATCCACACAAAAATCAAACCTGAACCATGCCACGGTGGCTACCATCCACCAGTCAAACATAGAAATTCCACATCCATTCATAATTTTTACACATGGTGGGCAAATTTCACATTTGAAAACAATTTGTCCTAAATTATGGCCACCAAAGCGCAATTAAGCTCGTTCAAACACATTCAACATACATGCACCACAAGTCAACTAATTCGTCGCCCTATTTCTAAGTTCAACATTCAATTCACTAAGTTCTCCTCACGTTACTCCCTAATCCGATTCTCCGCAATTGACAAAGGTAAAGTCGAAAACAAATCTGGAGACTCAAGTAGGATCGTAGGGGAAGTGATGGCAGGGCGAGGGAGGCAAAAATTTTCACAATAACAGGCTAGAGAGGTGTCGTCGGAAGCTCACCGGTGACTCGTCAGAGGCTCGCCGATGGTGACTTCATCGGAAAAAATCGACTCCAAATCTCCCGAAAAATCTCAGTGAAGACCCCTGACGAGGGGATATTGGGTCTGTGATTGCTTTTTGATTTTGGTGGCCGAAGGGCGGTGAAAATGGCAAACTTTGTTGGAAAATCACGATTTTCTGGCGAGTTTGGATTGTGAAATGAAGATAAGACATTCACGACCCTTTTATAGGCTGACGCTGAGGTTCACGGTCGCTAAGACTGTTAACATAATTCGTGGACCATGAACTGGGGTTAAGACGGAAAGTTTTGCAAAACGCGGAACACCCTGGTTCACTGATGCGTTTGGCAGTTCATGGTCGATTAAGACCGTGAATTGCAGTGAAACAGGGCATTTCCAAAAAATTTTGACTCAGCCTACTCCACCGTGCCTACTATAGATCACGACACAACTGAAACACACACAATCAAAAAGACTGGCACGGGGATACCACTCAACCACTTGAACTCTACACTTGACACAAAAATAAATAAAAAATAAAAGGAAAAGAAAATAAACCTCCGTTGGGTTGCCTCCAAACAAGCGCTAAGTTATCGTCATTAGTTTGATGGTTGCGGATCTATCACGCCTTTGAAAGTGCTGCCACCGAGTGGATCCGCCATGATCTCGGGGCGAGGCATGTCGCATCCCAACTTAAACTCCATGGGATGGCCTTCTTGGCCGATGACTTTCGCTTTTCCCTTTTCCTTCCTCTGGGCATTAGCATGATTCATCCTTTCCCTCCAAGCTCTTTTCCTTCCTTCTTTGGACGAGATGCCCTCCTTGCTTTCCTGTTTCACATCACCACAAGGAACATTAGTAATAGTGGGGTTTACCTTGAAAGGTTCTCCTCCACTTGCATTCATATCATTCGATTCCACTTCCTTCACATCCTCACTTCTAGGCTTAGGTTCAATTCCAAGAGTAATTCTCTCCTCACTGTCCCTCAGAATCAAAGTTCCCTCATTTACATCAATTAACGCGTTGGCGGTGGCAAGGAAATGGCGTCATAGTATGAGTGGCATCTCAGAATCTTCACTTATATCTAGACTTTCATAAAAGTAAATACTAAAGTAACAGACTTTCACGTTTCTACAATAACCTAGGATCCCCGGCAACGGCGCCAAAAACTTGACATGCCAAAACACAACACCAAACTGCGACCAAATGTAATCGCAGTCCGGAATTGCAGTAAAGTGGCAAGTTCTAATTATCAACCCGGGGTCTAGATCTACTGCCTACTCCGTGAATATCTATTATCTAGCCAACTAAGTCGATTGATAGTGGTTTTAACTAAAAGCAATAAGAAAGCAGGAAAAGATTCGGTTTTCTAAAGCAAAAGAAGAGTCACTCGGGAATGAGTCCCCATAACTCCTTAGTTAGGTCACAGTTGTAATTACTTTTGGTTGCTTTACTACTGATTATACTGGGGAAGATCCGACGGTAGCTTGGAATCTCTTAAGCTGACCAAGCCCTCTCAGTCAAACTACCCGGTAGACGACTAGTCTTCACCAGAATAGAACGCTGAGGCAATGAACACAGAACTCCACTACTTGAATTAGATTCTAGTACAAAGCAGTGAATCGACTAACTCTCGTATAATCGATTCACTACTACTGATTGAGGAAGCTCTAACAACCTAATCAGATTCTATCTATCTCAGGTTGCAGCAAAAATAAATAAAAGATGATCAGACTTTAATTGACTCAATCAAAACACTTCAATCGATTATAATCAAGCAATATCACAATCCAAACGTAACTACAATCAAGATTCCTAACACATGGAACTAGGGTTCTTCATACCCAAATGAGAGAAAGTTCTACTCCATAGAGAGAGAGAAAGAGGGAAACAGAATACAAAGTAGTCAAACTCATAACAATGGGAAAAATCTGCTCTGGGATGATGATCTTCACTCCTATGATGATCTCCAAGCTCGATTGATGAAACCCAGCTCCAAAATCACTTTTAGGATGTGTTCTTCACACTTTCTCATCTAGGATCTGTTTTTTATCCAAAAAGTCGATTCCCTCTCTTTTGGCTCGAATTTGCCTCAAAAACCCGATTCTGGGTGAAATACGGGCTGAAACGCGCATTTCACTAAACTATGAGGAAGGTAATTACGGTCGTAATTACCCAATTACTGCCAGTATTTAAGTAATTACGACCATAAATGAGTCCACTCTTGCCCGTAATTTGCTCTGCGACAGGAATTCTTAGGGATTTAGGTTCGACATTGCATTTACGGGCATGACAGAAGCAATTAAGCCCGTAATTGGGCAGGGGCTGCCCCTAATTGGCGAGGTTTTGGAAATTCTGCTTCTTGGAGAGAAGCCCCTTGAGGTATTTCGAGTACCGTGGCATGTGGGCCATTGCTTCAAAGAAGGGAATGTTGAGGTGCAGTTTTCTGAGCATCTCCAGGAAACCTCTACATTCCGCTTCCAATTGTTCCTTGTGTACCCTCGTGCGAAAAGGTAGGGGTGGCGTGTACTCAGCCACTGGAGGTGGCATTGATGATGCCTTCCTCGCCACTCCTCTATTTTCTCCCAAGGTTTCTTCATTTCCACCCTCAGGTAGAGGGTCTTCTTTCACATTCACTTCCTTGGAAACAACCTCCGGAGTCACCTTCCCACTTCGCAATTGAATTGAATTCACCCTAGCATGATCCTTGCGGTTTGCAACGGTTTGAGATGGTCGTAAGGCTCCCTTTGGCCTCTCGGTGAGGATACCGACAAGATTGCCGATTTGCACTTCCAAATTATGGAGACTCGCATGATGACTTCGGAGTCCCGACTCAATCGAGGTAAACTTGGAGGTTGTCACATCCATGAATTTCTCAATCTTCCCGAACTTCTGAGAGCGTGTACTCACGAAGGTGGTGACTAGATCTTCAAGTTTAGAAAACTTGTCGACTTGTTGTTGTTGTTGGAACCCTTGACCACCTTGTGCTTGGTATGGTTGTTGGAAGTTCGAGTTTTGGAATTGACGCCTTTGTTGGATGAAAGTTGGCCGAGGTTGATAGTTTCCCATTGGACCATGAAAACCGGGAGGTCTTGGATTGGTAGGGGAAGGCCAAGCGAAGTTTGGATGATTGCGCCACCGGGGGTTGTAGGTGTTGTTATAAGGGTTGTTCCCTCTAGCATTGGCTATGAAACTCACTTGCTCCTCGGGGGTACTTGTTTCCTTCATCGCTTGCAATCCACAATTTCATGATTAGTGCTAGAACACCAATCACAAGACATCACCACTCTCTTTCCTTGCTTCTTGTTCTCAAGGATCACCTCGATCAACTTGTAAAGCTTTGCTTCAAGTGGAGCACTTGAGGTGGGTCATGTTCATCAACTTCCCTTGGCACAGAGATTCGATGAGAATCTTGTCTTCTTTAATGAGACCTCCATAGAAAGTCTCTATCCGAAATTGCTCCTCGAATCCATGGTGAGGGCATTGGAGGAAGTACTCGGAGTGAGTGATCTTCCTCTTGCTCCTCGAATCCATGCATCCCTCAACGTCTAATCTTCCTCTTGCTCAAAGTGAGTGATCTTCTTCACTCAAGAGGCGATGGATCGAGCCAATCGGTTATTGAGCCATCGGAGCGCCTTTCCCGCAAGTGAGTAGGGGAATAGTCTCAATTGCAATGCCTCCTCAGGGACGCCATTTATCTTTAGGCTTCCCACAAGCTCAAGAAACCTTTGAACATGCTCTCGCGGTGATTCATTGGCAAGCCCGTGGAACAAAGCGTTGTTTTCAATCATCGTAACGAGAGAGGGATTGATTTCAAAGTTGTTGGCAGCCACGGGTGGATGTAGAATGGGAGATTGGATCTCCGCCGCCCGTGGGGCCATGTAATATCCCATAGTTCTTGATTCTTCCTCGCTTCCCGCTTCCTCATTTTAGTTTTGGAGCGGATTAGCACCTTGATGTTGATTCTCTGCCATCTCAACTTCAACTTCTTCTTCAATTCCTCCAAATCCGGGACCAACGTGTTGTCCCCTCTCTTCAATTCTCCTTCTTGCGTCCGCTAACTCCCTCTCACAAGCCAATAGTTGGAGAGTCTAATTAATGTTCTCGTCTAGTGGTGTTAAAGGCGTCAGATTCCTCCGGGTCATATTGCGTCAATAGAGGGTACGTGAATAGAAGAATTTTTTATTTTGATCCCTTGAGGCAATCCATTCTAGGAGACATTTAGGTCACTAGGTCCCTTCTTTCAGCAAGAGTACTAGTTCGAGTTCCTCCCGCACTTGAGTTAACTCCTAACTATCAATTAGATCCCTACCCATATTCTCCAATCTCTCTAGCTTCCTCAATAAGTGGTCTTTATGTCTGTGAATATGCCCAAAAATTGAACGATTCTAGTTTTCAACATCTCTAGCAAATGCCTCTGCCATGTCCTAGAATGCGGCTCCTTTGGTCCATGCACTAGTTGTCAGTGGGTGAAAATCTTAATGTGTTAGCCAAGCATCAAAGAAGCGGAAGGGCTTTAGTCCCACCGATTGGGTTGCACAAGGGTAGAAACAATAAGCGAACGGTGGTCGAACTTGATGTGGGAAAGATGGCTCACTATCGAGTCAGGGGGTCAGGTAATAAGGTTGTCCACTCGTTATTCGTTATTCCTCTATCAAATCTCTATCGTAGTGCCCTACAGAACCAATTGCTCCATAACAGGTTGCTTCACGTTCGCATTCCTCGCTATGGTTTATGGCTGCTTAAGCTTGCCCTTGTCCAACCGTCTTTCACATGTGTTGTCAGGCCTGGTGGGGTTCACTCTTGGTCTCTCCATCAATGCGTTAGTAACTCCTAGAGTAGCCCTGATCCAAACCAAATATCACAATAATCCTACCTAAGGCCAAGTATAAACCTTAAATGGGTGCAATATAGGGAAAGTATGTTTAAATATCGACCCGGGTCGGCCCATGTACCCCAACTTCAGTTGTTTGAAATATTATCTAGCGGAATGTTGTTTGTTAAAATCTCTACAATTTACTATTTAAATGAAGGACTTGAAAAGTAAAAGGGTGGAAAACTCTTGGTGAGAGGTGCAACAATGGTTAGAAATCATCCTCTCAATTTCTAGGCCAAGGAAAGCATTATAGGCTACAATTTTAGCCCTCTTGGCCTACGCAATTGAGGGTTGACTTACCTTCTCCCTCAAACCAAGGTTTGGACGACATAATCACAATTAACCAAGGTGTCTAATTCGAGTTTAGAGGTTTGCCATTCATTAACCTAGTTAGGAGGCATGGAATGTCTAAAAAAACTTAGCTCAAATTGAACCTCGTAATATAAGGGGGCTTCTCTCTAAGCTAGGTTAGAATATCACAATAGATTGCCAAGCACGCACAATGAACAATCACAATGAAAATACCTCAATTCTTAAATTAAACACCACCATCACACAATCATTCAATTCACACAATCAATTACATGGTAAAAGTTAGGGCTCTACAACACCCAAGTGAAAAGGGAAACTACTCCATGCTAGACAAAGGAAGAACACAAAGGAAGAAGAAAGAAACCATCACTGTGATGCCTCCGACTCTCCTTGTGATTGTAGAGATCCTCTCTTGAAGATGAACTTCCAAAATCTTCACTTGGAGCAAAATCTTAGCCTCTTCTCCCTCTTGGTTCGTGTTTTCTCTCTCTAGGGTTTCAAGAAGAAGAATGTTTCTCTGACTTTGGGCTCTCCCCTCTTCTTCTTTTTAGCTCTTAATTTATACACAGATCGCGCCCAGTTCATGGCCCTGAACATTAGGCCGAGACTGTGAACACAGATCAAAACGCGCCGCTTTACTTATGGAGTTCATGGTCCATGGCTCCAGTTCACGGTGTTACGACCGTGAACTGCCTCGGCATCAGTAACCTCTGAAATAACATTAGACGCTCTGCGCTTCACGGTTTGTGGTTCTAGTTCACGGTGTTGGCGACCATGAACTTTAAGCTCTGACCGTGAACTACGGCTGGATCCTCCTCTTTGCCCGGTCTTTGCGCTTTTCTTCCAACTTTCGACTCCAAGATTGGTTTCACCTGTTAGACTCTTAAACACATTGAAACACAAGAAATCTAGTGTAAAATCATCCTTTTAGGAGCTCAAAGGACACAAATGCCAAAGAAAACGGGGATAAAAAGGTACATTTACGCCCGAATCAAGCTTGAAACCGAGAGCCCGACGTAGCTTCCATTGCCATTTTGACCTTAGTTGCATTGGTCGTACCAATCCACTAGAGGCAGCTGATGGCTCTCTCTGCATATTATGTGGCTTTAATTTTGAAATCACCCATTCCTCGTAGATGGTCTCTGGTTGGGTCGTTTCTTGTTCCTTTACTGACTTTATATTCTCTACCTCCATAGGTTCAACTGGTTTGAAGCACTGACAGGAGCCATACGCAGTATACGTACCACACTTCATACGCGTTTTCTCTAACCATTCATACTGAATGAAGTATTTTATGCCATTAATCATGGATGCAGACAAAAGAGGCTTTGTCAAGTCAACCTGGACGCAGAGGCGGGCATAGTCACTTCTAGATCCTGTATGGGTTTCCTGGTCCACTTTGATAGGATTTCCTATATGACGTCGAGGGCTATAAACGAGCCGAGTCTAGTAGAGTTTTTGCTTAGCTTAAGGTCGGCTCATTTATAAATTTTTCAGCTCGACCTTGGTCGAACTTGAATTTCGATAATCCAGCCAAGATCGAGCTCGGCTCAATTAAAAATAATCCAACTCGAGCTCGACTCGGTAGAGCTCGGTAAATGCTCATTAACACAGCTTGTCAAGCTGAGTTCAAGCTCGGCTCAAAATGAGCTCGATTTGAAATCATTACTGCTGAAAAATGTGTACACGTAAGAGTTTAAATGATAAAAAGAAAACTAGAAACTATAAATAACAGCTAACTTTCATTCACATCCATATTAACAAGATAATGTTCACGTCCAGAAGAGTAATTAATCATTCCACAAGCTCTAAACAAGTCAGCTCGCGAGCTTAGCTCAACAATCCACCGAGTCAAGCTAGCTCTCGACCTTATCAAGCTGAGCATGATCTAGCTCAAGTTTGGCTCATTTCCTAATGAGCCGGCTCGCGAGTCCGCTTGTTAAATAACTAGAAGAGTGTTGAACGAGTTTTTTCCGATTCAAACGTTGAGTTGCTCTCTAGCAGCTTTGCTCATTTGCAGCCCTAATGACGTCCAATCTTCATAACTGCATCAAGGTGGAAATATTGTATTTGAATTTCTAGGAGGCGAGCCCATACAAGTGCGGAGGAGATCACATGGTTGTATCTAGGGGTTATAGTCGGGTATCCGATACTGATAAGGGACCTAATCCCCCCACCGATGCTGACACCGATATGACTATCGGTTATCTGACATCGATACTAGAAAAAATACAGTCGGTTGATCGGTTTCCCAAAACCGAGAGCTTCCACCATCTCTTTCTCCTCTCCGCATGTCCCTCCCCCTCCATTCTGCGTCTTTCTCTCCTTAGTTTCAGTCAAATCTTCCACCCAATACTTCTTCTATACCATCGATGAATAAGCATGCAGCATGTGTTGGATCTGGCCGGATTTCTGGCTCTATCGGCACTGGTAGATGGAGGCACTTGATGGCGACGATGTAGATGGGGGCGGCGACAAGGGAGAGGTTGCCGGTCGGAGTTCTCGATCATCGTCTGAGAAAAATCGAGGAGAATGGTGGAGAACAAAAGGCTCCGTCGCCTTCTTGTTTGTCGATTCAGGGAGACGGAAAGAGTGGAGGATGCGGCAAGAGGAGAGGAGGGAGAGGTATGGGCATTTGGTGGTTGTAGCAGTGCATCGAAGTTATCTCTGACATCAAAGGCGATTGTCGGTGATAAAAAAATTTCCAAATCTCCCAACCAAGACTGTACACATATAATCGATTGTCGATTCAGAATAAATGCCGATTTTGGTTTGATTGTTGGTTTAACCAAATAACCATCGACTGATTATCACCCCTAATTGAATTTGACTGTTTTTATTAAAAATTGACATTAATAGACAAAAAAAATGAAATTTGCTAAAAACCCATAGGCAGAAATCCAAACTTCTTGGATATTGGTTTTTGGTCCACCCACACAAAAAGAAGCCTCTTATCCAAATGGTTGGGTATTGGCCTGAGCCTTGAGGCCACATGATGGAGTTGGTTGGGCCTGGGACCCAACGATAAGTTGGGTCTGTGATTGGTTTTTTCTTGTAAAAAATTGTTTGAGAAGAAGTTTTAGCCTCCCCACCTAAAACCAAACCGAATCCTGGTATAAACAATTTATTTAGATTGTAATGTAAGCAATTTATAAGATGTAATTTACAATTTTTTCCGAAAAAACTTTAACCGAAGTTCCAACCCTAGTTAATACGTCAGACCTTAAAGCTCTATGATTTCATCAAATTTCTAATTTATATAGACACCACATTTTTCTACTATTACAATTTGGTAGTTTCTAAATTTTGTTTAATGATGAATGAAATTTAGTATGCACTAACATGCAGTCACATGAAAGGAAAATTGACTATCTTCTTCCTCCATTTCTCTTTTGTGATTGTTTTCTTGTGATAAATCAGAAACCATTCTTATTCAATTTGCCAAACTAATTCGCGCTTGTAAACATCAATTCCACGAAATCAAGTGTTCGATTTGTCACAGATACCATACACCCAAAGCATTCGAAAATACCCCACAATTGAACAACACAACTTGACTATTTAGCATTTAGTATTTACATATACACCAATGAACACACACTACATGCCTGGGGAAGACTAAGAAATTAGAGCTTGTTCAGAAACATAGCTCAAGTGGTATGTATTGATTTATTTGGATTTGTATTGCTTATCCGGAAAAGAAAAAAGGAACCCTAACTGAACTGATTTCCTCGGACTTAGACTGCTGGTCTATCCCAGCTTGATTACACACAAACAGGACTGAAGGACAAAACATTCCAGGTCTCGATAGTATATCCTCAATTAGATTCGGAATGGCAGAAACTGCAGCAGACTCCATTAATCTAAAGAAAATACCCCACTGCAGTACCTGCGATGAATGGAGCAACAAAGAGAATCAATCCCAGAGTGGAAAGTGTAGAGCTTTTAGCTTCCTATTCAGTTTCAGAAGATCGGGTCAGTGGTAGAGAACAAAATATCGAGCCAACTATCGAGAGGAACTAATAATGGCTTCAATGGACAAGATATGTAATGCATCAAACGGGAACCTGTTGCTGAACTTCTCCACGGAATCAGCGGCATACAGAAGCGTTTCGCTAGCTTTTTCTAGAACCATATAGAGCTCCTTCCCTCTTGATGTCCGTGCTATAACCCAGGCACCATTTTTGGCTCTTACACATATTTCCAATTCTTTGTCACAATTTACCTCACTGCTGCTGCATTTTGCTCTCTTCTTCTCCAAATTCACCTCTTCTCTCAGCTTGCTCAGGGCAAGTAAAGATTCCTGTTAACGAGGCAGGAAGTCACTGCAGTGTAGATACTAGAAGCAGATTCGCATAGTGCACGCCACGCGTACTCTAGCCTTTGCCATATATATATATATATGAATAGGAAGACAAAAACATTTCAATGATTTAGTACGACAATTTGCCATCACACCAGATGGATAAAACATTGACAGGTGCTCATCCCTTACAATAACCAGCAGACCAAAACAGTTCATTCCATTGACAGGATCCCAAGTGTCCAGTTTCATAATGAAAGTGTGCATAACCTAACACAATACCAAATCAGACCTCTAGTGAAAATGCCTGCCAAACATCAATGAGAAACTACATACCAGACATCTGAACGCTGGTAGTTCTTACCTTAGCTAGGGTCATGACCTTTGCTGGAGGAGAAGCCCGGGATACTCTTTCATCATCAACCAGTAAGTAACGATAGCCACTAACATGATAAGCATTTTCTCCACCCCATCCCTTTGATAATTTCTCCTCGACCCTCAACATTTTGAGTGAAGCCTAGTGCATTCAAAAAGAAAGAGAATGAGTCAGACCCAGACAACAAAATTACTTATATATAAAATTGCGGCTGCGTAAAAAGACGGCTAGAAGCCTAAGAGTGAGAATATAGCAAATATTTGTTTAAGAAATCAGAATACTGAATGCGAAAGGGTACTGATGGCAGCATTCACCAAAAGCTAAGGTTCATAAAGCAGCATTAGGTGCAGATAGATACAAGTAGACAGTATGTTCCCCCATCACGTTATAGTCTATGAGGGTTTGTCCTACTCATCTGCATCTGAAAATGAAGCAAAAATACAAAATATAGCAAAATATGCAGCATCTTCATCCTTTTTCCACTATCGGTAATGAAGGTGCATGACACGGAATACAAAAATGCAATACAGAACATTGTAGAAGGCTCGAAGCTATTTCTCTTCCTTGCCCCAAGGTATGAACCTAAGGCAGGGATACTTGAAGGCTTCAAGCTACCTATAATACAAAATAACCAAACCTAAACAACCAGCAGGCGTGGATGAGTCTTATGACATACTATTACCAGAACAATTTACAAATGTGCACGATAGGCCCCAATGTAGAGGATGCAGAAGTTTACAAGAGCAGAACTAAGTTTGGTATTTCCAGGAAAGTGAAAAAAGAAAAATAAATTAAATCATATGAAGAGAATGAAAGTCGAAAAGTAAAATGAAGAGAACAGTATATTTACGGAAACAGAAAGAACACACACATTTCCCAAGACTTGCTGCTTCACGAGTGAAAGTCCTTGCTCTCCGTTAAGAATGGAGGAAACAGGAACCAGAAGGATTATGGTCAGGCTTTTATGTTGATAGGCACATAGATACATCCTTTCTTCAGTCAGCTGGAGGTAAACTATTGGGGTGACAGAAGTTTGACTACCATTGTCAGTTCCCCAAATATCAGACGCAAGAAAACCATCGTTCTCCCTAAACCATCTATTATGATGTAATGGTCTTTTTACTTGGCAATTGTTTTCTTGGTCCAGTGAAGCATCACGTGAGCGATATATGTTATCTGAAACAGACCCAGAGTTCGTAATAGTAGACAACGCGGGAACTTGAGATCCTGCATTAGTTATTTGTAAATAAGACCAGGAAGTTGCTCCGGATGACAAAGCATGGGGAGTCAACCTTAGAACAGCCTAAGTAAACAAACTTATGGTGTCATCCTGAAAACCAAAGATTCAATAACAGAATTAGCAGTCATTCTGACAGATGCACCATGTTCATAGCCTCCTTATACATTTTATATCTCATGCTGGGTACTATTTTTCTTGTGAGAGTAAATTAAAATACATATAATTAGACAAAAATACTACAGGACATCCAGATTAAATAAGCTGTAGAAGTTGAACCATACGGGAGAAAGTGTGGTTGAGACAAGGAGGTCCTGGAACAAAACCAGAGAGTAGCAGGAAGTAGTCCCAGCAGAACATTCTAGTACCTTGACAAGCGACTGCAATTACAACAAGTGATCATCATTAATCCACCTAATTATGAGTGCATGCAGCAGACACAGTATGCATCGAAATTTCAAACATATAAAACCAAACTTCCTGAAGTTGCAAGACAAGACAAACACAATGGGAAGAGAGATCATAGGAATGTTAGATAAGTGAATCACGTGAGCAATCACGAGCTAGTCCAAGTACGAGGAGTCTGTTAAGTAGTCTTACTCTATTTGTGGATGAGGGTTAGTGGTCAACATGGAGAAGCCAAGAATGACGGGACTAGGAAATAAGAGTTCTGTATATATTGTTGAAGTTGGTGTTGAATTCAAGTTGTCAGTTTCCAGTGAATTATTTTTCACCGAAAAGATCTGCTATCGCAAATAAGCACGCACCCATCTGATAAAGACGCATGGAGAAGGGGAAGAGAGGTCATAAGGAAATGAGACCTGTCCAGTAAACCCAAACCATCCATAGAAGTTTAGTTAGCAAATCTGTGGGTTCTATCTGATCTGGTTTTGGTATTTGAGTTATATCAGAGCACCTCAGAAGATTTTCAGAAGTCGAACCTGGACTTCAATCGCAGCTTCCCTTCCAACAGTAAGCATTTGAACAGTTCCACGCTCCATCAAACAGTCATGAAATGATGGTAATTGGAGCTTCTTCCCAATAAGAAAATCTGCCCAAAAGTTACAGGTAAGGTTCAAGTCACCGCAACTTCAACAATTGTTTGGCAGATCAAAACTGATGAAGCAAATTTTGATACAGCATCTTGAGAATTACCCCAGCAGCAGTTACACAATAGAGACTGCTTTTGGTATGCTGCAATTAGTGACATGAGATGAAATAGCATACTAAAACAAAATCGCAGGACCTACAGAATTCTGCATGCAATGAAACAAATAAAATAAAGGCTTACCACTAAGATAATCCGTGATGAAAGGATATAAATGAGATCGGATTAAGCCTCCACTAGTTTCCTTCTCAAGCATCGATCTCATTGTTCCATGGAACAATACAAAAAGAGAGTGAACTTCTTTGAGAACCTTTCGTAATGCATCAACCTGACATGCTGCTTTTGATTCCTTACTTTTGTCCACTACCTACACCAAGGTCAAATACTACCAGGATGAACAATCACACAGAATTTAACAAAGAGAGTAATCAAACCATGTTCACCTAATATGATACACAAGTACACAATAAGAATTTTTTAAGGTACATTAGAGAAACTATAGTAGGAGACACATTTTGCAGTTTGAACTAGGACAACCGGTACAAAGAAAGCTTTCTACATGAAGAGAAAACTTCATATAGATTCAAGAATACAAGACATTTGCTGATGCTCGACGTGGAGGAGAAACACAATATTAGGACAGGTTCAGTGTTCTTTATGATCAGGAGTCAGAACAAAAATCCATTTCCATAAACACGCAGGAAGGAACACTAAACTGATTAAACATAATGAAAATAAGACTCAGATGTTGCACGTGGCAACCAACTCAAACCAGTTAAGATCCCAAGACAAGAGCCAAAGCAGATATCCATGTTTGGTTTATGTTTTACAATGGATTTCTAGGATATTGAAACATAAATAACAGAAAGTAGAAAGCCTCGTGAAATGGGGTTGCAGACAAGTCATTCCTCTCCAAAATCAAAGACAAGAAACCATGTCAAGTTTAGAAACTATGGAAAGAAAGCAATCTACGTTGTATCAGCAGTCCTCTCTAGGAAAACCCATGGGTTCACTATAAGAGAGATAACATACCATGACCATCCAGATGTCTGATTCTGCTTCATAAAAGACATGGGAGTGCCTCTCTGCTTCTATCACTTCACAAGCTGCATCCGGAGAGAAAATCCTGCATAAAGTTCATCATTTTTCAAAAAAAAAAAAAAAAAAAAAAAAAAAAAAAAAAAAAAAACCCACAAAAATAACATAACAAATAATCATATCAATCAGGTCATTGTGAATAAGCAATTAGATATTTGTGTCATGTTACGACTAACAGTATGGTCTATTGGTTCTTTAAATGGTAAGGTAGGTACGACTGGAAAGAACGAACTAAAACTTTGTGTGTACAAGGAGTATTTAGTCTTATTCAGAACTTCAATCATGTTCCATTTATTCATGAATACTATATTGCAGAATATAGGTGCGTAACAACACTATCATTTGGATTGTTAGCATCCACTTCATAATACCTTTGAACCTTATAGCTACTAACCTTGTAAAAGTTATGAGCCCTTCGCTGAGTCCTATAACAGAAAGCTTGGTTGCAAATGGCAAATCAGCAGGAAAGAAAAATAAAATCTTGTCGAGTTCCTGGCCTTCTAGTTGTCCTCTTCTCAAATCAAATATGCAAAGTTGCATACCTTCACTGGCAGTATTAACAGATGCCAAACCCATAGTTGGCTCTAATTCTAAACCTGATGAGCAGCAGAAGGTGATTGATATAAGATATACTATCATATGACTGAAGCCAAGATGGTAAGGTAAAGGTTGACTTGTAACGATTCTGAAGCAAAAAGGTGACAAATTATATCATTGCTTAAGAACTTGTTAATACAAACAAACTCATCAGCCTCATTATCCGCAACAAGCCCTTCGCTCAAACCAGAAAGGAATCTAATCATCCACCTTCAAACAATTTTGGGTATGCATCTTAAGGGGTGGACAGAATCTAATTTCTGCCACATACTGTAAACGTGGCAGGAGGCAGGAAAGGGGGCACCCACATCATCTGTCCATGTAGCCGGCACCAGCCAGTATAATGACCCTTGTAAATGTAAAGAAAAGTGGGGTTTCTAGGCTCAAACATGAGTTAAGGTATGTGCATGTCATATTGAAAGTTGTATTATTATGTAATAATTAAGGTCGATTCACAAACCATATATCTGCCTGCCCATCAGGGGGAAACACTCACTAAGAATGTGGAACTCTATGGCTCCAATGAAAGTATACTATCTGCTATACCAATGGAGTGAATCCCAACTTATCCAAAACTAGAGATATCTCTCTAAAACCAATGAGGATAGAGATGTAGAAAATGATTTCCTTTTCAGAATAAAGCATCGACAATCTACACTCTCAATAACATGCCTTGTGGATATCCAAGAATTCAGCTGGCGAAACAGTTTTAGGTCTTCTAGAGATGGAACTTCGGAGGTGCCGTGATAGATCTTTTTCCTCGTCTCCGCGCTATCTCTGGTGTTTCTTTTGGTTGTCGGAAACTGGACTGCAACAGCGCCGGGGTACAAGAATGGCGGGCACGATTGGAAATGGGAGGAGAGCTGCGTATATGTGCGCCCGGCCTCTTTCTTGTTGTCGTCGTCGTAATAGTTGCAGCAGAATCACTACTTACTGACGGATTTTTTTACCTAACTACACTGCTTACTAAAAAAAATTCACAAAATACAATAATTTTTAAGGGTTAATACCCTCGTTTGACACGAAGTATAGCGTTAGTGACAGTTCTAGTCCCATTTTTCAAATAACACATTTCTGACCCACATTTGAAATTACCACACAAATGTGGCTTGTGAGACGGGTTGACTATCAAATTTGACGGTCAACAATTTTCTCCATCGCTAACTCAGCATTCGACGCAGATGCAGCTTGTCCACGTCATTTACTAATATTTTCTTTTTTATGAACATTTCCACTTCATTATGTTTTTTTTAAAAGATTAACAAAACAAAAAGGGAAAGGGAGACAGTCCAGCACACATTTACCCTTTCCCTTTGGGATCCGATTAGGTGCTAACTAAAGGATAATTTAGTAAATATACCATAAAACCCTAATATAAATACATTTTTTTCTACCCTCCTTCCCTAGCAGTCCACCCCTCTCACTCTCTCTCTCCCTCTAAAAAATCCAGAACCCCTTCTCTCTCTAAAGAAACTTTGATCTCTGTCGATTCTCCTTCCGGTCGACTACGCCTTCATCGATCTTAGCCGTGCCGGCCTCAGCCTCCCCGGCAACGGACTCACCATCGCCCGCAACCGCCTCGACATTGCCAACCGCCTCGCCATCGCCTGCAACCGTGTCGCCATCAACCGCAACTGCCTCGCCATCGCTTGTACGCGTTCACCGCCATCGCCTGCAGCCGCGTCGCCATCAGGGGCAGTGATTCGATAAAACCAGATCTGGGAAGAGCTTGTCGTTCGATGGAGAGAAACGAGAATGCGCCGCCCTTACTTCCGCCGCCCTTGCTTGCGTTGGCTTCCCACCACTACTGTCGTCAATCGCTCACGGATAGCATGGCAGGAAAAAATGAGAACTTTTTGTTAGATCTATATTATTATTTGATTAGTAGTGATTTTGGGTTTGTAGTGATTTGTGAAGTAGTGATTTTCATATTTATTAGCAGTTGAGC